GAAAACAGGGACCCCAATTTAAATTACGGCTCCTTGTAATTATAGGCTGATCCTGAATATCGCCAACCAATGTTTTCACCTCCTCTACTTTGTCATACCAGGATGCATTCTGCACTGAAGCAACCCTTTTTGAAATGATCCAACTTTATCTTTTTTATATACAGTTGTTCTGTTTTTATTTCTAGACTAGTTTGTCTATCAATGTTTCTCCCAGTAAGACAACCTCCAGGAACTCTGCAGTACTGGTCCCTGATGAGCAATGATATATAACTAACCCACAATCTGAAATCTCTCAAGTTATCTTTAAACACCGCAACTCATCTTCCTGTAGCTTTCACCCAGAGTGATTGCACCGCTATCTGCTTTTATCCACAAAGATCCTGCCACTCCAGCAGAAAATCTCTGTGGGTGTGTGTAGAGAGGGGTGCGGGGAATAAACTGCACAAATTATAAATGATGAAGTCAAAACAGCAGCCTGGCTGTAGCCCTTCCCCTTTATTTATTGTACAAATATATCTGGGAGACAGAGACAGCGCTTGTCTGATGCAGGTCTGTGCTGAGCAGTAGCCACAGCACACTCGCAAAACAAAATCATGCTGGAGACAAACAGGAGATAGTCTGAAGTCGTCACCCGCCACCCACCCCCTGGGGCAGGGCTGTGCTTTCTGCCCCTGTGCTCCCTGATATTTGTAGGAGCACTTGTAGGCTGATCGAGGACCAAACTGTGACTCTGGGAGGTCAGGGGTGAAACACAGTGATAAATAGGAGCTGTCTTCTGCCCATAGACCCTCTGCTGAGCAAACACTTCAGAGACAGATTATGTGATGCTCTGGGCTTACTGAGCCTTGGACTACACTTTTTTGAACATTTTCACATTGTGGTTTCTTTATTAAGAGGTAGGTTACAGTAAATGTAACCTTTATTAAGAAACCACAATGGCCAGGCATAGCGTCATCACCACCTGCCTCGCATCATGTTGGTACCTCTTTTGCTGAAACAACAGCTCTGGCCCATCAAGCTATGTTCAACAACCCCTGAAGGAGTGCTGTTTTATCTGGCACCAGAGACTTTGAGTTCTGCAGCTTTTGAGGTGAAGCCTTCATGAATCAGACTCATCCCACAGACGCTTGATTGGAAAGATTTGGGGAAACTGGAGGCCAAGTGAACTACTCCAACAAATTCTTACCCTCCTCAAACTATTTCAGACGTGTCTTTACTTTACAGCTGCTAAAAGAAGCCACCACTTTCAGGTGATACTGTTTCCATCAGAGTACGTATAGGGTCTCTAATTAGCTGTTTTAATATGTCAAGAAACTTCAACATTGATGGTAGAGATCAAATGTTTTCTAGCAGAATATTGCCCGAAGCATCATGACCTTCCCCAGTTTGCCTTCTTCCTAGAAAATATTCTGGAACTATGTGTTTTGCAGAAAAAACACATAGTTTTTTTCTTCAAAAACATTTTTGGTAAGGAAAGTATCTGACCAAACATGCAATTTATTGGAAACTGAGATTAATTGGACAAGACCACCTTCTTCCATTGCTCTGAGATCTGGTTCTTGTACTTACTGCCCCATTTCTTTATGTTGTTGGTCCTTTCAGTATGGGCGATCTTTGTAGTCCGTAGCAAGTCCCAATACCCACTAAACTCTCCTGACACCTTTCTAACAGAACCATCTTTACCAATCTGAGCTACAACAGCTCATATGTTGGGTTGATCTTTGTGGATCCCATGTTTATGAATGGCCCTGACATTCACAATCCTGTTGGCCCGCTGCTCCCTTAATTGGAGGTCATTTGGATAGATGCTAACTAGTGTAGACTGGAAGCATGCCCCCACATCTACAGCAGTGGTGATACTCTGCATATTACAAAAGTACTCTCAGTATCTCAACGGAGATATTTTTGTTCATCTTAGTGGTTCTCAAATATTCTGGCTGACGACCAGAAAACTACGGCAACTCATGACTTCATCTTTGACTGCTTGACCTTGTTCACAAAATACTACATTATGATCAAGCAAACCAAACTGGAACTTGTTAACAGCAAATTGCCATCCTTCCAACTTTAATTTACTTTTGGCACAGATTTTTAAAAAAATCTATTTTAATGATTATGGTCAACATCCTGAAAGAGTAATGATCATTTGCAAAAGTAGTGGAGACCAAGACTGTAACACTTTTTTCTTCAGTCTATCTTAAATTTTGGAGATAGTCTTCTCAAACTGTTATGCAAAATACCCATGTGTGTTTACTACAAATGGTACTGACTGAAAACCCTTTTAGTATAATCACAAACTTTGAGTTAATGTCAAATTTACAGACCTCCTCTGTCACAACTTACTCCAGCACTGGGATTGCTACAGTGCAATACAAGCTGAAGTGAGTTGTAACAATAAGACAAAAAGACAAAAAAAAAAAAAAACAACAACAAAAAAAAAGAAGCAGAAACAGAAGCCATATTGTGGATTCCATTTTACAACAAATGAGAAATAGAACAACCCAGAACAATATCTGTCACTGTTTTTAATGTGCCATAATTCTAACTTCCATTCAATTTATGTGAGTATGCAACAGAGTACACACATGAAGAAGGGGACAGTACTCATTTGTGTATTCACAAAAAAAATAAAAAAAAAATCATATTGGTCTGATCTGAAACTAAATCAGTGACAAAAGATTTATTGTTCATGCTGTTGTTACTTTTCATGGATGTGGATCACTTTTACCTGGCAAAGTGATGACGCTGTTCTGTTATTAGTGAAAATATTTTGGTCCTCAGCTTTAATTACTGGAGTAACTTTGTCCATCTCCATTAAATTACTGTAATAAAGTAACAGATCTGCAGTGCCATGTATCACTTTCTTGACTGATGTCATCTTTGTGAAATACATGAAGAGTACAATCATTTTGTGCTGTTGAATACATAAGAACAGGTTTATGAATAGGCCTGTCATGTTAAGAAGTCTTGCTGAACGGAATCTATGTAAATCTAAATGCAATTGTCCAAAAATGGGCTAGTTGAGGCCAGTGGACTAGGATGAAGCCTCCTGTCATCCAGTTTTTGGTAGAAAGAGAGAAAAACAAGAACAATTATAAATCATGCAAATGGAGATTGGTGAGCTTGTTTTAATTTGTCAGGCGATTAATGGATTTATTGCTTATTGCAAGAGGTCCATTTGTAACATTATGTTTACAACCCACGCCACTTCTGTCAGCCATTGTGTGGCTAACCTTATTGGCTGTGGTCGCTAGCTGCTTAGCTGAGGAAAATTAAATCCTTAGCTGAAAAGCTGAGGATTGAAAAGCTATGTTTTCAACTCACAGTCACATGATTGTAGCTCCAACTGTGTAAGTACCATACGAAATTTACCTTTGGTCAAAAAATTACTTTCTTATCTCTAAATCACTTTTTTTCTCAATAAAATTGGAGCACACACACTTTCTGCCCTGATATCTACCATATGATGATGGGCGGGACTGGATAAATAATAAAATAATCATGTGACTTTTATAAGTGGTGGAATAGCATCACAAAGCTCCCCATGTTTCCATCATTCCATGTCTCCCTTATTTTGGAGATCCCAAAAGATTCTTGACAGCCTTTTGACCCATCAGAATCAAATCATCACATCTGCTCTGATCAGCTCATCTGGTATTAATCTATTATGTCCAGTCACTTTATAAATACATATGTTCACATATTTTATTCAGCTTGAAATGGATACTATAACAACATCCTCAACAGAATTCTTCAGTGATCCAGCTTGCCTCACCACTAGGGGGAGCCCCATTGAGATCGCGTCCCTTCACCAAACCACCAGAGGTGGATCTTACTGAAGAAAAAAAATATAAAATTATATATATATATATATATATATATATATATATATATATATATATATATATATATATATATATATATATATATATATCCTAGTCTAATTGATTTAAATAATTATTGCGCTCTGAGTAAATATCTGTCATGACTTAGTCTGACTAAGATACTATTTTAGGGTTCAACAAGTCAGACCACTGAGATTTCTGGTTTTGTTGGACAGAGATCTTTACGGTCTACTAAAGCAAATAATAATAATAATAATAATAATAATAATAATAATAATAATAATAATAATAATAATAATAATAATAATAATAATAATAATAATAAAAGGAACGTTATCAAACTCGAAAGAAAGATTACTAAAGCAAAGAAATCTTAATCTTCCAGAGATCACGCAGAAAAGGAGTCTTTAAATTTAGTCTGCCATTCGGCCCCACTCCTCCACCTCCCCTCAACACCACGGTGTCTGAAGAGCTGAGGACCAAGATGCTTTGTTCATGTTTCCATGCATGACCCTCAGCGGCCTGACGCTGCATCCTGCTTCAGCTAACAATAGGCACTTTAACTATCAGTCGCGCTTACCAAGCAAAATGTCCGGTCAGAGCGAAATTATTATTAATCTGTTCCATCTACATGTAGTGATTTACAGTGCAGATAAATATAGAAGCAAACAGAAGGCCGCCATTGTTTTAATGACTAGTTAAAAACAACAACACACACATTGGCCTGAACTGTATCAATCAGTATTAGTCTGTAAAAAAAATATTTTTCTTCTTCTTATCATTATTATTATTATTATTATTATTATTATTATTATTATTATTATTATTATTATTATTATTATTATTATTATTATTATTATTATTATTATTATCCATTATAACCCCACGTAACCATCTAATTTGACTACTAATTTCCTCAGTTAAAAGCCTGCCTAACAACAGTCTAACGTGTGTACGGAGAGAGCGACTCCTCCGTCTGCGCCGCTCCGCTCCGCTCCTCCTGTCAAGGCATTTTTCTCTGAGGAGGAAACTAGCGTTGGTCACGTGACACCGCGTGAGCCAATGGCAGCAAAGGAACTTAACTTTGGCCGTAAGGGAAGGGCAGTAAAGAGCAGTCCGAGCCAAGGAGTTTCACTCCGTGTTCGTTAATGATCATCGGCGCACATACAGACTGCAGTTGGACACGCCGGCTCCGAAAGCAGCAAAGGTTTAGACAGAGTCCACCTGGAGTTATCTTGGTCTTTTTCCCCTCAGCAGCCTATGAGAGGCTGCAGCAGCACACAGTACATTCAGTCTTTGGTTTAATTAGACAATCTGCTGTGACTGGCGGCTGTCTGTAGCTCAGATGCTGGGAGACAAGGCTCACGGTAAGACCATATCCTGCTCTGCATGTTCTCTACCGGCTGCCATCACCTTGATGGAGTGTGTTCCTGTTCGGTTGCTGTCCCAGTGCATCAGCCTGATGGGCTAATATAGGAGCAACGTCTCCCATTCTTTAGTTAAAATCGCTCATGTCGTTTTTTTTAAAATAACACATCTAACTTTTTCACACACAAAGTGGAAAATAATTCAAGAATGAAATTAACAAAGTATTGGAATTTTCAGAATCAAGGATCTGACTGGGTAGAATGTAATTGTTGAAACAATTATGAAAGATGTTTCTACAATAAAAATACCTAAACAATAAGATAGATAGATAGATAGATAGATAGATAGATAGATAGATAGATAGATAGATAGATAGATAGATAGATAGATAGATAGATAGATAGATAGATAGATAGATAGATAGATAGATAGATAGATAGATAGATAGATAGATAGATAGATAGATAGATAGATAGACAGACACTGTAGCAACATGATCAATTATAATGACGGAAATAATCATTTATCATATTCTAGAATAGCATTAAAAAAGTAAATTAATAATCAAAAATGCACATGACAAACTTACATGCACTTAACGTAGAGTTAAGAAGGGATATAGTAAAATAAATATAAATAGTTATGTTTGGATAGAAAGGAGATAATTAAAAAAACACTTAAGTAGGCTATATTGCATATAAAACTCTGAGCCTCATTACTAATTAATATTACTACTACCAATAACGACAACAATACTAGTAATAATAATAACGATAGTAATAATGATTGGACGTTTATTGGTTTATCTCAATCATTTCTCAAACCAATGAAGCCAATCAGCAGCAGCAGCGGCGGCTCTTTGAAGCTCCTCTTGTCCGCCCTGTGGAGCGCGTGCTCTCCGGTACCGACTGTTGCTCCACCTGCTCGGCTGCTCTTGGTTTGTCCAGTTTCCCTCAGCTGGCTTAGCGTGGCCTTTTCTTTTTTTCCTTTATTTTTATTTTCTCATCTGTCATTTTGTCTATCGGTCGTTCAGGGTGGTCACATCTGAACGACCGATACCTCGGCAGCGGTTCCTCTAACACACGGCTGTTCCCGCTGCGCTGGCCCGGACACCGAGCGGCTTTAGCCACTGCCTGGCTAAAGCCGAGACGTAAACAGGCGGAAACTTGTGGGGAAAAAGGATTAAATTACGTCAAAAGAATGAATGAATGTTTTTTTTTCTTTATTAATGTCTTCATTTGGCCCCAGTGATAAACTATGTGTTTCTTGAAAATTTATAGAACCTTTATAATAACTAGAAATCAGTTTAAAACAAAGAAAAAATTGCAGACTGTATTAATGGAGAAGTGAGGATCTGCATCCATAGAACTCTCCATCGAAATGCCCGTGTTTACAATCTGCTTGCATTATATGAAATATTATTCGTAATAGAAAATAGATTAGTCTTTCTTAAAAATTAAATACATAGAAAAAAATGCTGTAATTGCGTAAACTTTGAAAGCACAGTGGTGTGCATGAAGTTAACGAAAAAGATATTACAAAGAATGTAAGTTATCAATTAAGTGTTTTTTTTTCACTTGTGTTGAAATTATAAAGCGAATGTTGAAAATCCACCTAGATCGTTGAATTAGGTAAAATAATAATAATAATAATAATAATAATAATAATAATATATATATATATATATATATATATATATATATATATATATATATATATATATATATATATATATATATATATATATATTTCATCTGGTCAATACTGGTTTTCTGTGTTTGTGTTCTTGCGTAATCCAGGCGTGACTTTGAAGGTGATGGAATACACATACGATGATGACCTGGAAGAGCTGTGTCCAGTGTGTGGAGACAAAGTGTCTGGATATCACTACGGTCTGCTCACCTGCGAAAGCTGCAAGGTAGGACAGCTCGATAGCTCCCGTTGTCAGCCGCGGCCCGGTCCGCACTGCGCTGGGCTCTAAATGCTCGTTCAGATTCACTGACGGCTGATATGATGAAACATGACTCCCATACACATCCTTTCTGCACATGCTTAAACTGCTACTTCGTCTTGTTTATTAATTAACCAATTTTGCTTTAAAGTAAATGAAAAAAAAGCAAAAACAAAACTAAACAACACACACAAAAACAAACAAACAAACAAAAAACGTCTGAAACGCTTAATATGCGTAGCTATTTTTTGACCGACAGGCTGTTGGGGCCCAGCGCTTCGTTTCTTCTGCCGTCTCTTCTTCTCATTCTCGTGTTCCGTCTGTGTTCAGGGTTTCTTCAAGCGGACCGTGCAGAACAACAAGAGGTACACATGTGCGGAAAACCAGGAGTGTAAGATAGACAAAACCCAGCGGAAGAGGTGTCCGTTCTGCCGCTTCCAAAAATGCCTCAACGTCGGGATGCGCCTTGAAGGTACGTCCATATTTAGTGCCCTCAATAATAATAATAATAATAATAATAATAATAATAATAATAATAATAATAATAATAATAATAATAATACAATAAAAATAAGAAAAAGAAAATTATGTTCACATTCTTACTATTTATTATTAGTTACTAGAGTAATACAATTACAATAATAAGTCCAGTAATTTAATTCCATCGTCCAGTTTGTGATATTTTAAATTAATTTTAGCTTTGTGGTTTTGTGACCTAAATTATTTCCTTCTTGTTGCCTGGTGGCTTTAGTTACATCCTACACACACATACACACACATACACACGCACTTGCACTCGCACACACACCCCCACACACACACACACACACACACACACACACACACACACACGCACACACACACACCCACACACACACACACACACACACACACACACACACACACACACACACACACACACACACACACACATTGGATGAGATTAATTCCCAGACAGCAGTCCAAAGGAAAGCACCTGCTTCCGTAGCAGAAAAAAAAACACACATTCTTTTACTTGCTGATAAAACTCTGGAGACTCCCCAGGGAAGAAGGAGTAGAGCTGCTCACAGACTCTAAGGGGATTCTTCTTATCCCTAAAAGGGAAGTGAGGAAGACCATCATGTCCGTCATTTACTCCATGAGAATAACACTAGATGTAGCTGAAACAAGAGCTTTCAGTTAGCTTGTTTTTGTTGGTTCCAGCTGAGCTTTAAAAGCTCTACTTTTACAAAAACCACATGTCAGAAAAATGGCTTTACCTAGAACTCAATTTCCACCTCTTCTGTCTTGTGTGATAGCTGTGCGTGCAGATCGGATGCGTGGGGGGAGGAACAAGTTTGGCCCCATGTACAAGAGAGACAGGGCCTTGAAGCAGCAGAAAAAGGCTTTGATACGATCCAACGGGTTCAAGCTGGAGACCTCGGCCCCCCCACCTGCCTCCCCTCTGCAGACTGACTACAGCTTTACTGGCCCCCTACATGCTCTGCCCACCATCTCTAAAAGTCTTCTGCCGTCCACCCCGAGCTCCATCACCTCTACAGACTACGAGGCCAACCTCTATGGACCTACATCACTGGGCATGGCCATGCAGTCCCATGTGCCCCTGACTCCCCAGTATCAGTACACAGCATTCCCCAACAGGGCAATTAAAGCTGAGTGCCCAGACTACACTAGCTCCCCTGAGTCCATCACAGGATACCCCTACCCAGAGGTCTACCCCTCAGCCTCTCCACAGCCGCCCAGCCTGCCACCTCTGGTGCTGGAGCTGCTCCGCTGCGACCCAGACGAGTTGGTGGTGCAGAACAAGATTGTGACTCACCTGCAGCAGGAGCAGAGTGGCAGGGGCCGGATTGACAAGCCCAGCACCTTCAGCCTGATGTGCCGCATGGCGGATCAGACCCTCTTCTCCATCGTGGAATGGGCCCGCAGCTGCATCTTCTTCAAGGAATTGAGGGTGAGTCTTTAGCATTTCACAAGCGTGCTTGCGCTCACCTAAAACAGAGAAGCCTGTATAAGACTGAATTTGCAAAGGTTCACCTTTGCAAATTCACAAAGATTTTGCAATACAAATCTAACTGGTTTTCAAAAAAGTCTTTGGTCAAGTTCAGTTTGACGTCATCTTATTTTTCTGTTGCCTTTTTCAAGTGTATGTTTGGTGGCAAGGAGTGGTGGTTACTGCAGTGGTACTGTGTCTTACATTGGAAGGTACTTTGTAATTTTGTGTGCTGTTATGCTGTTTGAGTAATTTTGTGTTTTGTACATTTCATGTAATTTAGGATTTTCAAATCCATAGTTTTTCCTTAATGTAACATTTCATATAAATCACATCCAACACAACTTTTGAAAAAACCTTCCAATAACAGTTAATATGAACAAACATTTGGCAATGCATAATTAAAAAGGACGGATCAATACTTATTTCTACTCAGGAGATGACATGTCAAATTTTTACAAAATTTCAATTAACTTTTTCAATATTACAATTTAATTCCATTAAAACTCTGAGAACATCATGGTCATATTAGATTGATTTTTCTAAAAAGAAATTACATTGATAGAGAGTTGGTAGTGATGTGAAGGGTTTTGTGGTGAGGAAGATGTGCTCTAACTTTATAAAATTATATTTTGATAATTGGTAAAAAAAAATAAAATAAATAGTGAAACAAAAACATAATTGGTATTTAGTGCCAAACAGGGATGCAGAAAATAACACTGTCCGCTATCATTCTGATCACTGAAATCTTTGCTCTGTGCTAAGACTAGTCAGCATTACATTTGCCATTTCAGTCCTTAAAGGAAATTTGCACCAACTATGAGGAGCGAATAGCTAGTGTTGTAGGAGAATGCTAGAATACTTTCACCCTTGTAAGGATAGTGAGTGAAATGGCGTCCACAGTTTATCACAGCTCATACATCCCTTGAAGCAGATTCTTCTGCTGCTCTTCTGCTGTTTCAAAGTTATTTTGCATTTTCCTTTCAATGCAGGGTACCTGCTCGAAACAAATTATTGTGTACTTCAAGATGCATTGCACTAAATTAGTTTATATTTTAGGAACAGAAAAGTATGGTTTGGTCATTGAGGAACTCTAATATTTAGGAAAAAAAACTATTACTTTATGAAACTTCCTCCATGATTGTGGATTCTCTTCATTAATTTGAGTTTATATTTCTTAGATGGCTACCAAAAGAGAAAAACCCAAGTCAAATTTCTGTTTTCTTCCTTATCCCCCATCCACCAACCATGCTTTTTCTCATTTTCACAAATGTTCATGTGGTTAAAGAGGGTGAGGGAGGTGGGGTGGGGGGGCTTCCCAGGTTATCAAAATTCAAGATTTTCAAGCGGCAGACCAAAAAATGAATGGAAGTGGGATGGAAGTGTTGCCTGCTGAGACATTGAATGTAAATATTTGGTTGTACTCAATGTCATAATAATCACTGTAATAATTTTTGATATGACTCACAATGAATAATGTAAAGCTTAATGCATACTAATGTGTTTTAATGAACATACATTTATTTTTGCTAAGTAAAACAATAATTAAAATGATGATAATATTTTTTTATTATTCTTTTTATTCTTCTTCTTATTATTATTATTACTAGATTTTGCACTTTATCTAAAAAATAAGAATTCAGAAGAAGCTGCATTGGCATTCATCTGATCTTTTTATGCCTCTTAATGACGTCTGTCTCTGCCAACTCTTTTGCATTATTACAAAACAAAATTGCCGCAACTATGCAGCTGCGAGTGTAACAACAACATTTTCTTTTTATCCATGTTTAATACTGACACACTTGACAAAGAATTGTACTGTAAAACATTCACTGAAATTCTAAATATCTCTATCAAGCAGAGGAAGCCCTTCATAAGCATTAGTGCCAAAATTAGAGATCTCGGTCAGGAGTGAATTTTGTGCTGTCCTTGGATAGATAAACACAAAAGTCACAAACTCCAGCAAAATCTGAATTAGCTGTCTTTAAATTAATAGTTCATCTTTAATATTGGTGGCAGTGTGAAGAGTGTGTAAGCAAGATATTATCTTACACAACAGCCATCACTAATCAACTTAATGGATTTCATTAGATATCTGACAAATTTCAATACAACAGAAAAACACCTTATCCTAGTGCAAAAACCTTTTAGTGGAAAGCTTGAGATTGTTATAAACTACTGTCTTTCCATTAAACATATTTATCTTTTTAATTTCAATTCATGCAATTTTATGGCCAATGGAAACACATCTGCTGCTTGTGTCCATAACAGCTGGAATGTGCCTGCATCAATTCACACACACACACACACACACACACACACACACACACACACACACACACACACACACACACACACACACACACACACACACACCACACACACACACACACACACACACACACAGAGCAGTTGACCAGGTCCTGTCATGGAGAGAAAATGCTGTGACTCTTTTATGCATAAAACACAGTGTACATGTTCACTTTAATTAGTAACGTTAAATGATGCCTTCATGTTCAACATGCAGGAACACCATTGCTCATACTGCAGACTGTATCAAAAACCTAGAAAGATTTAATCAATCTGCAGAATCAAAATTACTATGATAGCATTCAGTTATTATAATTCTTAAAGTGTGTGCACGTGTTTTTTATTTTGAAATGTTGCTCCAGTTGTTACCTTGGAGTCAGATACTGGAGTCATTTGTCAAAACACTTGGACCCCTGTCTACTCATATTACAAAGCTTCTCTTTAAAATACAAGCATCTAACAAAACAAACAAACAACAATAACAATAACAACAAAAATGCATTTAAATACTGTCACAGTGTGTATTGGTAAAATACCTGAAACAACAAACAGAAAAACAGGTAATGATATGGAGATATGCATACAATGAAAGATACATACAAGTGTCCACGTTATTCATCATGTTTTGGTTAGCATCTCTTTAATGCTAACCAAAGCATTAAAGAGATGCTTTGGTATTTTCCACATGTAGATGATAAAGGTATTCTGTGAGCAAACTGCAGCCAAACTACACCAAGCACTCAACACAAGCTCATCACACACATACACAAGGCTGAGAGAAGGTTAGGCTGAAGAAGTAATTTTTTAAAAACAATTTGCCCAACTTGAAGCTATTTGATTGTTTAGCTTTGCTTGTTTTCTTCATCTAAGATTGTGAATCCACATGATTATTACTCTTAAATATTAGTTTACTCATTGCTTGTCCGTTTTTTTCTTGCGAACATCTGAGCAAACAGGATTTGAACTCTTGAGGGGAAGGCAGTGTGCAAAATTATTTAATTTTGCTTCTTTTTTCATCTCTGTTCCACTCTTTCAGAATAACCACATCTAGTTTCTATGGCAACTATACCATACAAATCATCTAAGTCTCTTATTGATGCTGGGAGCGTCATATTTGAAACTGTCATCATTCAGTTTCTCAACAGTTTTCACCTGATAATAAATGCACACATAAAATAATGAATTATTCAATCCCAATGTCCAGATCAGAGTACAACATTGATGGAAGTGTGATTTTCTCAGTACTCTCACAGGGATTATAGTGTTTAGTTGCAACTTTTGTGTGTTCCTTGTCTCAGAAACAAAGTTCACATTGTGTTGGGGCCGATAGTTGTTGCACCTTTTGATAGTTGTTGCACAAGGTATCTTTGTTGTGAATGTGTTGAAGGGATATCTTCCTGCATGCTAAAAATCAGGGAAAGAAACACATTGGCTAAGCAGAAATCAGTATAATGTTTTATCAAATGTGTATTTACTGCCATGTAATTTCACGTTTCCTGTCCCAAGCTACTGAAGCATGATGCAGAGTTTTGACATGATGCTTTGTAAGGTGGTAGGAAAAAGTATGAGTCTCTTTAATCTTAGTTGTCTGAGTTGTCTGCTGTTGCTTGATTTGTGCTCCATTGTTGTGTTTGCAGTGTATCTTCAGTGATTATCTCTGGAAGTCAGATTCTGATGCTGCTAAATCAGTCACAGTCGTCTTTATCTGGTTTATGATAAAATACTATTACAATAATTATACTAATGATACCTTCATGCCCATAGTGTGACTTTGACACAAGAGATTAGATTCTGTGTATGTTCTGCCATGGAAAATAAAGGATAATTACTAAGAGCAGGAGAATCTATAATTATACACAGGGTGACAAATAAAAAAAATGACTTTGAATTGATAGGTTTAGTTGTTTGATGATGTGAGATTAGATGGAACTGGAACCTTCCAATGAAATACTATCCCTCACTGCAGACATGTTAACCACTTAGAACCCATAATATTTCATGTATTTATTTTCAGTGATAGCCACACTTTATTGCTTGCATATTATCTTTAAATTTAGAAATGTTTTGTAGATTAAAAAATAAGTAAAAGTTTTGCTCACTCGGAATCTTCTTTTAAACCCTTGTAAGTTGTATCTGTTGAGAGCCAGGCTGCTTTATCCACAGTTGATGGTTAAAGCTGTGAGAATAAAGCTGTGTGTATTTTACCAAGAAGAGCCTGTTGAAATGACTTTTTCCCTGGGCTGGATAATTACATTCCATGCAGATGATAACGGGGGAATGTGAGCTCTCACCGCAGCTTTACTTCGTGCTTGCTTACATTGTTAAATAGTTTGCAAAATGGAAACTACTTTTCGCTGCAGTTCCTCAGTGGAGCTGTTTGTCTGTCCTTACTGACTGGCCTTAGGATCACCTGCTCCACCAAAATGATGTCTGAGGAGATAAGGTTGGTTGTGGTTGTTTATTACACAGGTTACCAGACTTAGCTTTATGTACTTACACTTTAATGACATACAGCATTTTTACTGTGAGACATATATTTTGTTTGCATAACTTAATATGTGATGAAACATCATAACTATCTTGCAGCATTGCACTCACTAGTACAGCCACATCAATGGAGACAAGATGAGGGATTAAAGAGAATGGGCACCTGGGCCCATAACTATAGCAAGTTATTGCAATGAAGAATAATCTTGTTATTTTGAGACTCTTTGCAAGCAACGTAATGATAATAGCATAACATGCAAGACCACATTCTCAAAGATAAATAAACTTTAAATTACAATTATAATTTAACATTGGAACTGGAAGATATTTTAAACATCGAGAATAAACAAATAAACAAAATTATCCTTAAAAAAAAAGTCTAGTTGAGAATAAAGCACCAGACTGCAGATAATTATCATCCAGTTTCCAGTTTTTGGTAGAAAGAGAAAAAAAAGTAAATCATGCAAAGGAAGATTATTGAGCTCATTTGAATACACACACACACACACACACACACACACACACACACACACACACACACACACACACACACACACACACGCACGCACACACACATATATATATGTGTGTGTGTGTATTGTGCATATTTGTGCAAACTGTAAGTGTTTTTTTTTTAATAAAACATGATTCTTTACATTTATTTATAATTTATGATTGAACCCTCCCAAACTGCAAACAGATAAAACCTACGAAACAATAATGTTAAGCCTTGTAGTCTGAACTGCAGTTGAGCTTTTTTACGGTTGAAGGCTGAAAGCTGTGTATCACTGAGGTGATTCTGCTTTTGATTATACAGTACTGTTGGCAGCACTTCAAAAAGTTGATGGGGAGTGTGTGAGGAGTCTTTGGTGATATTTGGAGTGCTGTTCTTGCTGCAGCCCTGAGACACCTCCTGGGCAGAGGGTAGGAACACCTCAGTGACCCTTTCAGCTCCACTCACTGTCTATGCAGGGCTAGCTTTTTAGCCATGATGTGGCTGGCTGCAGCATATCAACACAACCTCCTCCACATCTCTGCAGAATTATGTGAGCATGCTGTTCATTTCAGCTCTTCTAGAAAGTGTGGTCTGCTGCAGAATCACATTTACGACAAAATGCATTTTAAAGTCTTAAAGGAATATTCTGTCCTAAAAGTAAGAATGAAAACGTAATTCATCTGACAAATGTTAGTATTTGTCATATTTATTTTTGCAGGCAGACATTTGTTTGAAGGGTATTATTATGTAATATCATTTTTTTTTTGCTTTACATTGTATTATAATGTTGCAAAAACTCACCTGAATTATTGCTTTGTTTCTTTCTTTAATCTCCAGTGGCAATCGTTTGGAGGTGCCTAAATGCTTGCTGTCACCAAGCGCTGCCTTTTCCACACAGATCCTCTTTGAAGCTGCAGTTTCCAAGCTTCCACCTCAAGAAGTAGCCCTCCCCCATGACACCATGAGTTAGATTCCAGACTAGCCAGCAGCAATTAGCAAACACCTAATTGCTGCTAGCTGGCTAGCACTCCTATAATGAATGCGTTATCTGAACTCATCGTAGGAACAACTTCTCAAAGCAATGCTCCGAAGAAGAGCTACAAACAGCAGAATGGAGTAGCTTTTTTTTATTTTTTACTGCAGACTATTTGATAACAGAGTGCCAGACAGAGCAGAAGCTTTTTTTTAAAGAGACATAAATCAGGAATATTTTCCTGAGAAAATGTGTTTCATAAAAAATTGTGCTCATGGTAATTCATGCCACTTGATCAGTAGGCTATTTGATTTGTATTTGAATCTTGTTTAACATGGATCAAACATGGGGAATCTGAAAAATAACATTTCATGTGGGGAACAAAATGAAACTCTTCTGAACCCTGCTTCTTGTATGTTTGAGTTTTTTTTTTTTCCAACTATGTCTTTGGCTGCTGCCTCCAACTCCTTTTGGAGAGGAAGCACAGGAGGTCACCAAGACCTCTTGCTTCCTTAACCCCTTCCTTTTATCACCACACATGCAGACCCCCACCACTTCACCGGTCTAGATGAGTGCAGCACAGAAGATTGGACCATCTTCACTGCCACTGATATATAGTTTCATTCAGATGAACAGTAATTCTGTCAGCTTGTGTCAGATAAATGTGTGTCTGGGCCTATTAGCAGCTGTGGCTGCAGAATTACTGTCTGCCGTGTCCTTCACTTTACTGTCAATACTGCGGTGGGGTGAGGTTAATCTAGGAACTCACACTCATCCCCCCCAAATAGAACAGAACAGATGTGACTGTTCAAGGTGGGCCTTTTTGAGTTAACAGGTTGAAGAGGTCAAATATGTGCTCGTAAATACACAACATGGGACAACACACACAAGTACCACTTCTATTTCACTGCTTTATGATTGCCTGCCTCTGTGGAAGTTTTCCCAGTATTTTACAGCTTCATGTTGAAGTGTTTTCTGTAATGACAGAAAATAAAGGAAAATAACTTCACCATAAGGTTAGGATTTTTTTTATGGGATTTTATAAAATGGCATTGAAAGGAGAGACATACTGAGTTGCTTAAAATGAAGACATAGTCTCTTATGATTTTTCCCCCCTCTGTTCTATTTTCTGAAGGTGGGAGATCAAATGAAGCTGCTTCACAACTGCTGGTCGGAACTCCTGGTCCTGGATCATATTTTCAGACAAGTTCAACATGGAAAGGAAGACAGCATCCTGCTGGTGACTGGCCAGGAGGTAAAACTCCCTCGCTCAACTTCCCAGCAGCACATGAACCGTCTGCCTCACTTACTAAGCTTTAACAGCTCTTCAGTGACAACTGCACTGCAGCAGCAGCAGCAGAAGAAGTATACTACAGGCTTGATTTATCAAAACGAAAAGTTTCCAAGCAAATTTGAATTTGTTTTTATTATTGTTTATTTGCTTGTTTATTTTATTTTGGTTGATATTATTTGTTCTTTTATTCAGTTACTTATTTTGTAGATAATTACCTCTGTTTTAGTCTGTAGTGTTTGTTCTGTATACACTAATTAATGAATTACAAAAAAAAAAAAAATAAGTAAAGAAAATAAAAAGAAAATTAAAAGACAATTAAATAGATTAATGCAGCAGTTATGTGCAGATGCAAATAATACTGTGGAACATTATTGTCTTAAATGGAGATTTCCATTTACCTTTTCCTAAATTCATGTTAGGTATCACAGTAAAAAAGCTTCTAGAACCTCAGGTCTTTTCTGGTGCTGGTCTTTTACTTAAGCAAAACTGATATGTTAGCATGTAGATTATGCTGCTTTCTCATTATGCAATATTATAATGTTAAAAAATATAAATAAAAAAAACAGACCAATGATAATTATACACTGGTAGTCACTGTAACTGGAGATCTGCATATCCCACAATTATTAATAAAATGTTTAACATTATTTATCTGCAAGTAATTAGATTTACTAAAACATTACCCATGTCTTTTCAGTTCAGGTCAGTTTCTATTAAGGCACTTTATAAAAAGTTATTTCAGTCCAATCCCACATACATTCCAATTGATACGGGTTATTAAACACAATAGTAACATTCATTAATTATTCAAAGTCATTTAAAAAGTTTCTAATAATTTAGGATTTAACTTGTAATGTTGCTGAGCAAAATTAAGTTTTAGGCACTACATGGACAGAAATGGCACAGTTTTGCTCTAGTTATACAGAGCATCAACACACTTTACCATTATGAACTATTCACACACCAACACAATGTATTGGTGGGAAACTTGTTTTGCCCAAAGTGCACTTTGTCATCTGGAATCATACTTGTGAACTTACAGTTGTCTACTCACTGAAAGCCGTAGAAAACCTGTTAAATAACTAGCAATGACAGTGTAGATGGAACTCTGAAGACATCAAAATTCACAATAAGCTTTTCGGACCTTATTAGCTGAAGTTGCATTGCTGTATCTAATTAAGTGATGCATTCCCTAAGTAATTGAAAGTATATTTTTTATCTATTTATTTTTGGCATTGATACATTTTGTGAAATAACCAAACAACTGATCTGCAGCTGCCTACTCCTTCTGCCCGACAAAAGGAACACAGTTCACATTAACGCGAGAAGTAAGGAAGTTCTAACCAGTAGTGTGGGTTGTTAAAGGGATTCTCACCCTGTACAGCTTCTTCTTCCACCAGTTGTTAAACAAAAGAACTGTAATTAAAACTGTCAGAAATTTTGTCTGAAACTACTGTCAGATTTACCAGCCACATCAGCCACAATGTAAAGTCTTCAGAGCAATATCTAAAAACTGGAATCAAATAAAAGTTAATCTAAAATTGTATGATGCATATCATTTACATCTGATCTATGACCTATTTTACAGCTTCACTCCTCTTGTTTTCAGCCTGATTCTCACATTTTGCCTATAATCCAAATGACTTTGTAATTGACTTTGTATCAATTCATCCATAAATTAAGCTAATTAAGTTTAACTACATTGCTAGAAATACTTTTTACAGTTTTCTTACTTCTTAACAACTAGTCAAATTGTAATGAATTAATAAGCAACGTGACGGTCAAGAATGTTGTTTCTGTCCACACTATATATTCATCAAATTCCATTTAATGGTGCATTGAGAGCAAATGTCCTAGTTATATGACACACAGCAGATACTGAGTCAATTTAACTATAATTACTATTCTCTAGAATGAATTGCCAAAATATTAAAATCACCTTTGTTGATCAGTGAAAATTATATGAAAATAACTTGAGTATGTTTTATGAGTACATTTAAAAATATTTCTGTAAAAAAAAATATTAGTTCTATTGAAATTGTTTACATGCAACATATACAGTAGAAAACAACAAAAAGTACACAACTGCATTTCAGTTATGGAAAAGTACAATTATTTGTTTACTATAAAAACATAAAAGGTTCCAGCATGAACTTCTAAAGTTTTTCTAATTAGCAGTTTAGATAAAACCATATAAATATCACAATCAATGAATTGCATGATAAATTAAAATTAGCATAATAATTTATTTTCTGACTGTGAATTTGTTTGAAGGGCAGTTTTCTTTACAAGAACTTCTTAATACATTTTATCCATTATTTCGTTTCTAACTATATTTATTTCCGTTTTGTTTATAGTTTTTCATTACTATGTTTTATTTTGGATGTTTAAAATATCTTCCATTTACAGAGCTTGATATTCTTTACTGAATTACAGTTTATTAGACTTTATGAGAGTGAAATCTAATATATTGAAATGCCATTATGAATATATTACATGAAAATGGCCTCAAAACAACAATACTGTTTATCGCAATAATTACAGGGACAATTTATCGGACAGCCAGATTTGTTGCTGTGACAGGCCTACGTCATATTTCACTTGTAAGAGCTTTTCTATAGATGAGTCCAAACAAAAGCTCAGGTGCACAAAAACATGAAAATGAGCTAATAACAAAAAAATTCCTTTTTTCATATTCTTGCAGATTGAAATGTCCTCAATTTTGTCACAAGGAGAGACAACACTGTCCAGTCTGGTCCAGAGAGGTCAGGAGCTTGCAGCGAGGCTGCGGGTGCTGCAGGTGGACCGCAGGGAGATGGCCTGTCTCAAGTTCCTCCTTCTGTTCAATCCCAGTAAGTCACTCCCTAGATCACTTTTCATCACTGGAAAAAGCATGGCACATGTTTAGCAAAAGACACATCATAATATTAATTATATGCATCCTGATTATTGAAATGTAATATTCATATTTATTAAGAGTTTTCTTGTTCTGCATATCGCTATGAAAGGCCTGTGTATAAATGATGAATTCAAGAAAAATGTCTGATGGAAATTTGTTGAGTTCTTGGGTCGGCATTGCCGTACAGATGCATCATTTGAATAGCAACACTGACATCTTAATAAAAAAATGCCACAAATGCAGATAATCTGTGCTCCCTATTAATCTAAGTGTTTTCCAACATGGCCTCTCTCACCAAAATAAATTCACTTAATTAAATTTCTAAGCTTGACAATAGCAAATATTAACAAAAGCAACCTTATCTATTGTCCACTAATGGCATTCAAAAGAAGAGTAATGGATGGGTCTATCATTTGATAGCAAGACTGACATTCATGTAGTGGCTTGTGCAGATGGAGAGAGCATAGATGTGGCTCGCCAGATTCCCAGAAGTGTTTCCTGTTCAGTCCTAGCAAAACAGGGAACAAAGAGCTTTTGAACAGGGAGAGCACTCGTTATACACAGAAAATATTTGCTGTCTTTGCCAACAGCTTCTTTGCTCATGCTCTTGCTCTCCCTCATCCTCAGAGTCAGATTTGTTGGGGGTAATTTAATTGCCCTTAAGCAGTTTGAAAAGATGATTCAGAGCATGGATTCAAAACATTTAATTACTGCGTGAATGGATTCTCTGAGATGGGCTCAGCTGACGCTGAATGCTATTCAGCAGCAGGGCAAGGCTATTGTCTCACACACACACAGACACGCACACCCACACATGCACATGCGCATGCACGTATTCACGTATTTGCAAACACACATTTGGATTTCTATCCATATTAAGACTTTGTATTGATTTCTATTCATTTTACTGCATCTATGCCTAACCCAATATTTTTCCTAATCCTAGTTAGTACTAGTGTATTAAAGACCCTAACCCTAACTAATACTCAATTCTCTAAATCTAACCCTTAGTCTGGGCTTTGGGTCCCATAGGAAACAGTTGGTCCCCACAGTTCACCAGGAAAATGGTCCTCACAATGTATCAAAAACAAGGACACGTACATGCACACAGGCACAGCCAAACACACATGCACATGTGCACCAAAACTACACAAAAAGACAAACACACAGAGACATGCACTGAGAAATTATCTTCTTTTAAACATAAAAATGCTTAACTGATTAAAGCTTAAACTGTTAGTAGGATACCAGCATTCTCTGCATGCTGGCACAAACTGTAACAATGTCACAGTTATTTGTTTGGATTGGATTTGGTGAAGGTGGGTTTATTTCACTGGGCTTTCACTAATACACACAAATTATATCAAACACTATGTTATCAAGCAGGGACACAGACATTTGGTGCACACAGTTTTATATCTGTTTTCCTGCTTGATGGAAATACACTAATTCTTACTTTTCTTACTGGTACTCCAAAAAAAGCGATGTCATAATCTCTGCCCATAAATTCTTGTAACTATTCTAATTGCCAGTGTTTCTATTAATATAAAATTCTTTGTCAAATCAATTTTAAACAAATCTGATGAATTAGGCAATAAATCTGAAATGTTAATGTATTAATATTACATGTTGCAAATGAATCTATTGAAGTACAGCAGAAAGTGAAACGTGCCCAGAACACTATTCCTGTAATAAGCAAAATTGCGTGCATATTTATATTTCAAACTCACAAATTTAGGCATAGTGATTAATAGTGATTAATCAAAGTGCTTCAGTGTGATTAATCAAATTCAGTTTTTGAATTGATTGACAGCTCTATACAATGCTATTCATCTCTTCCTGTCAGAGCTTCCAGAGAGTTCCATTTGTCCTCTGTGTTTCTACAGACGTGAAGCTGCTGGAGAACCAGGCCTTCGTTGAGGGCGTGCAGGAGCAGGTGAACGGGGCTCTGCTGGAGTACATCCTGTCCACCTACCCGCAGTTTCAGGAGAAGTTCAGTCAGCTGGTGGTCCAGCTGCCTGACCTGCGCTCCCTCAGCACGCAGGCTGAGGACTACCTGTGCTTCATGCACCTGAGCGGAGAGGTGACCTGCAACAACCTGCTCATTGAGATGCTGCACGCTAAGAGAGCGTGCGTGTGAACAATACACACACACCAATGTGCTATCAACAAGTGTTACATTTCTGTATGAGACTGCATGTGTGTGTGTGGGCATGTGCGTGAGAATGTGTGTGGGAATGAAAAATAAAAGGTGAAAAGGGTTCACACTGGGTCATCTTTGTTAGGGCTTTTCCTAAGGTTGAAGGACGAAAAGATGTTTCAGATGTTTGGACTTTAAAGGTTTTGAATGTTTCCATCTTCATATCCTGCACAGCTACTTTATCATGACCTTAAAACTGGATTTTCTACTCTTATTACAAACATCTGAAATCGGGTTTATGAGGGAAGTTAGAGTAAACATGAATAACACGTTAAACTTATTGTACATTTCCACAGAGCTGCAGAGCTGATGTCTGTTTGTGGCTTTGCAGTTACCTGTAAGTTTCCACTTCCTGATGCCTCTGAGTTTCAGCTGGGAACTCTTCTGCTAACTGGCTGGAGGTCTGCCTGTATTCCAGGCCCTTTTCACAACACATTTTGTTTCCTTCCTTCAGAAATCGCATTTGCCTGCAACAATGTCTCCTATAAAGAAGCTTCTTTTGGGTGCAATGCGAAGCATAGATTATTTTATTGTAGTAAAACCAGAACTTTATAATTGTTGTTGGAAAAAGTATAATGTATCAAGGACTTCAGAGAGGTGCTGATCATTGTGACAATCAAAAATCTAAACGTCACAAACCTCATTCCTGTGAGCAGTTTTTAAGCTTTATAGAATCTTGTCCCTTTTTAAATGCCTGGAAGCTGTAAATTAATTATTTGCCAAAGTGGAAAAAACAAAAAAACAAAAAAACAACTCAAAATGGACTGTGTGACATTTGTGTCCAGTTTTTGAACATACTTTAAAATAAGATGACACACTGGACTTGTCAGACCAGAAAGGAATGCACTTGATATCTTTAACTTGACAGGCAGTCTAAATGTAAAAGCCTCATCATGTTCTGTAGAGTTGAGTTTTCATCTATTTATTTAAAACATTATATATCCAAAACTTTTCTTAATGGAAAACATTCCTATTGAACCGAACCAGGTTCAAAAGCAGACTAAAAAATAAAAAAGCGAGAGACAGAAAGAGGAAGAAACTGGACACTGATTAAGAAAAGCTAATTTGAAGGAAATTAAGAAAACAGTAATCTTTGGTCAGATATAAAAACTATGCGCAAGTCAAGAACATAAAAAAGAGGGCAAAGTCATGAGCAAATGTGAGGAGACAGAAGATAAAAAAAGCAGCAGTTTAAAGATTCGAACAGTAAAGACAGATTGTGTAAATAGGCATCCTTCAGTTTTCCCTGAAAGCACAGATGGGTCAGGGTGAGAGGGATTGTTTGGCCACATATTGACTCCATCTTATTTACATAGTTTATTAATTGAGTCCTGAAAGCAACTGGACCTCAGAAATTATATTTCATGCACACTCAGTTTTCAACACAGCAAAGCAAAGATGAACTCTTTGTGAACATTGACTAAATTTGGCTTCCTGTTTACTTCACAGCAACGAAACGCATCAAAAAGACTAAACGGCCACACCTCAGGGTGACCTCTGACCTTACCCACATTCACTGGTCTCCTGGGCTTCTTTACTTCTTATTCTGAGACAAAGAGAAAAGGATGACTTTGCAGAAGTACAGTGTGTCACATTACAAACTTTAGAAAGGTTAAAAGATTAATGAGATTTTAGACATAGACACTGAAATGTTCTATTACTTTTACAGAGTGTCTGTACATCTAATACACTTGTAGTTTAACAGATCCTCAAGTGGATTTAGATTGGGCTTTGACTGGGCCATTCTACCACAAGACAGTCCCATTCCACTGCAAGCCTGGCTGTGTCCTCAGCTGGGCTTCTTGCTGGGAGGAGAAGTTAAGCTTCATTTGATCCAGCAGTTTTTTTTTTTAACAAACTCTATCCATCTTTCCCTGCTGAGGAATACTATACCAGCATACCACTAGTTCATCCAAATTTAACCCGTTTTTCTCAGCAGGTGGCATATGATGACCTCATCATGACAATATATTAGCTTTTTGTTCTGTTTTTTCACCAATCTCATTAATCTTCCTATGTGTTTGGAGGAATTGTTTGAATTGGCACATCAAAACAAATAGAATAAAAAATGAGTTATTACACAGGATTATTACACACATGTTAACACACGTTAACCTGAGTACCATCAGCTGGTGCTTTCTGTTTTATCACTGTCACATATAGCAATGTGCGGCCATCTGTCCAGTTACACTACTTACTGATTGACTAAGGGGTTTTATGGTTTGTTCCATCTGTTTTTAGAATGACAAAAACATTCATCAGATTTGATGATCCAGTTTTTATCTGGGATTTTATTTTGCCATGGAGGATGCAGCCGGGTAGCTGATGGGAGGCTAGTTAGTCTCGATAAAATTGCACGTCAGTCTTTTCAAAACAAGGAAATAAGTGAAAGAAAGTTACATATTTTAGCGCTGTGATCGTTACTCATTAAATGCACAGTTTGCACTGATTGGATTTAAGTTCCAGCACCATCACTGGAACTCAGCATTCAGCTGCAAACTGAATTTTTTTGTGTTTTTTTTTTCCCCCCTTCAGGGGCCTTTTTGTGGGCTCTAGTGTCCCTTATATGACAGTAGACTGACAGGAAGGGGGTAAGGAGAGGAGGGAAGTCATGCGGCAAATATTGTCGGGTAAGGACTCAATCCTGCGACGGCCGCGTCGAGGACTAACGGCCTCCAAATATAGGTCGTGTGATCCCCTATGCCACCAGAGCAGCCCAGCTGCAAACTAAAGTTAAACAAGTAAACAGTGAGGCTGAACTTGTGAGCCCACAAACAACCTTCCCTTCCCAAAACCCTCCTGTGTTTCTGGAACTTACTCTGTTAAACTTGTGTTTTGTCCCACACTGGTATCCTAAGTTGTGCTAAAAAAAGGAAAGATAAAAAACACATTTAAAAGCACTCTAATAGAACCGGCAGTGACAATATTTTCTGCTCTCGTCTGTCACCAGAGTCAGAGAAAACAAAGAAACATGGCGGTGTTTGTATTATTGTGCAGCTCAACTTTCTTACTGTTGCCATGTCAGATTAGTTCTTGTTTGCCATTTCAAGGTATTGATGACAATCATTCCGTCTGCCTTAATTCAGTGACTGCCTGAACACACACAACACACACACACAACACACACACAACACACACGCACACCTTGGATTTCCAGTGGAGACAACCGCCATCACTCTGTACAGTATATTTATGTTGTGAAGTGAATATATACTACAATATGAGGACACATTCAACACAAAAAATATCTGCTTTATGTTGAGGTCTAAGCGCTACTGTTGTGGAACTGATTCTCTTGGTATTGTTTTTGGTTCTCGCTTTGTTCTCCTTTTTTCTTGTGAGTCCATCTTAAACTGAAATGTGTTTCTCTGAACAGAGAAATTGACCACATTTTTCTTTAGATATATTTTATTGTAATAGCAAAAACTCAATAAATTCAACAAAGAGTAAAGCTTGTGCTCTGTGTTAATTTTTTTGCTTGTTTTTTGCAAACACGTCAAAGCTTCACATGGGCACTTAGTAAGGTGTTTGTTGGATTGAGTCTGCAGATCAGTTCACAACAGCCCTGCTCCACGTTTCACATAAATTACAATAATTCTTTCAATTTAGTCTCTGACATCATGGGATTTTTAATTTGCAAAAGTGTGAGATGCTTTAATGGAGTTGTCGTTAAAAAAAAAACAAACAAACAAAAAAACAAACAGAAAGCACATCTGCCTGGATTTCTAGGTTGTTTTTTTTAGTACTTATATATTTTTATCAGGGGACACAATAAAACTCCAGTCACTAGTAGGTTCTAAACATCTATAAATTGAACTTCAAGTGTAGCAGACACACAGCAAATTCCTTATTAAGGACACATTTATTGGTGATCAAAGATAAAATCGAAGTGGAAAATCTGTGTGTAAAGAATCATTTAAACTACAGCTTATAGGATCTTAGAGGAAAATGCTGCTGATCAGATGATCTTTTGCTGATAATCACAAAGTCAGACTCACTCTATAAACATTGGACTTTTGGTAGATTTGAAGCATAGTGACAATGTTAGCACAAAGACCAGGAGCACCATAATGCCTCAAACACATTGGCATCGACATTGGAGGATGCTTCTCATCAACATAAAAAAGGTTGTGATGCCATTTTCTGAACATTTCCACTGAGATTATCTAAGGTATAGTGTATAATTAAACAGCAAGGCTCCGGGAACAAAAATAGAACAGGTTTTAGTGAAAAGCACACATACACACACAGAGATGCTGCTATTAGCAGTGTCATCTGACTTCTCATGTCTGGTAGAGATCAGGCCCAGAACTAGAGGAAGGCCCAGACGGGTCAGAAGATTTTCATTACTGCACTTTATCTGAGGGTTTTCTTTTTCTGGTCCAAACGTAGCAGCTGCTTAGGACCCACGACCTTCAGAGGCCCCTCTAAATGCTTAACACAGACCGTAGATCTAAAATTGTTAGCGTTGTTTATTGAATGTCAATATCTGATTTTATTGGCAGATTTTTGGGGCAGAGACAAGTTAAAAAAATAATTATAAATTTAGAATTTAGGAAGTAAAAGTGCAAAGAATCATCTTCATAGTTTCATTGTTGTGTTACCATGGATACAATCTGACGTCATCAGTAATCTTTGTGTTTGAACATGGTTTGTCCACAAATACATTAACGCAAACAATAACCAATTATCTGTTTAACTTGGCCTCTGCTCTCAGATTTCATCAAATCCATTTTTAAACAGTTAGTGATGATGATGAGCATAGAGCGAAAAGGGGTCACTGTATCAGTTTCTGCCTAAGGCTCCAATATCACCGTGGAGCCGCACTGCATGAAGAGCTACAGCTGCTGCACCAGGCACAAATAAGGAGATTTAATTCATGAAGCTCCAGCAGGGACAGACAGTCAGACGAGGTTTTTTACAAACTGCTGAGTTTGCAATCAGCGCCACAGAAGCTGTTTGTTTTGGCTCCACAGGTTTTTATGGGACAAGTTTTTCAGATTGACGGCCCAGCTTCATTGTGAGCTGGGCAGTTCACAATGAACTGTAAACACACTGCTCCTCAGTGTGTTTACAGGTTCACTCCTGGGAGCCGCTGAAATGCCTGACTGAAGCGGCAGAAGCTCAGTAGAGATGTTTGAAGCTTTGTGGTGCTGCTAAACTCTCTGACATCAGAGCTTTTGCAGAAATGCAAAAATTTTTCCATGCAAAAATTAGAAATGATTTGGGTAATACCGACTGACCTTAAAGCAAAAAAAGTTCTCTATAGTTTAACATCAGACTGTGAAAAATTGTTTACGTTTTTTCATATAGTACACATAGAGAGAAATCTGGCATGAAGTGTATAGAAAATTGCTTATGAATTGGACCTGCTGCTATTCACATTTACTAAGAATTGCTATTTAAATAAATAAGGCTGAATTCTCCCCAAATAAACCTGTTTAAAATGTTTTTTCTTTCAAAGTCAGATAGTATTGTGTTTTACCAGTAGCATCAGTGAAATGCAGTTCATTTGGCCTTAGAAGAATTGGAGAGAAACAGGAAAGAAGCCGAAATGAAACAGAGGAACTGTAGTGGGGTGTTAGCTCGTCAGCTGACTGCTCTGTACTTTATTTCAACATTTTTTATTACATTTTGATGTTTGTCAACATAAGCTCTCAGACAGGTTACTGTACGGTTGTTTCATCAATACGTCATACAGAGTATGAAGCAGAGACAAACTGATGTAAAGCTGACAAATGTAAGTCTTGCTGGTTAAGACTACATGATAATATTCTTGCCAGTGAAAAGCTTACATACACTCATCATCAGAATCAATTGAATTCCAACTGTTCTTTTCTCAAAGTGGAAGATTAGCTGGCAAAAAATCAATTTATTTGAGAAAGAATAATTGTGTGAACAAGCCTGAATTTCATGCAGTGTTTCTCCGATTCTTGTTTCATGCATCAGAATAATGTTTTGGAATTTTTGGAAACAACCAAGAAATCATAAAGAATCAAGGATATCACAGAATGGAAGGTGCCAGAATGTCTGCAGTATGAAACACCAACATGAACTGAGAAGGAAAATGTCCCTCTTTAACTTCATAGTGAAATTTTCATTTCTTGGGCAGGTCAAAGTTCATTCAGACAAGACAAAGACTGAGTGGTCTGAATAAAATGACAAGAAATAGGAATGGATGAGAAAAGCCGAGCGTTTTAAACCAGAGAACATTGCACCATCTTTTGAGCACGGTGTTGGTGGCGTCATACTGCCAGTGTTACTAATGTGTCCACAAAGCAGGAGGAGGAAAATGGATAAAGCACTATCTTCAAACTCTTCAACTACACTTCTAATAAACATCTGAAAAGTTGAAACAAGAGAACCAACTGAAGATTCATGCAGGACGATGATCCCAAACTGAACTGGAAACTGGTTTTGGAGTAAATACGGGTCCAGAATGTGTGTTATTTATTTATAATTTGCAAATGAGATAAATATCGGTGGGGTTTATGTTACTGAAGCTGTGTTCCCATTGGAGACGTGTGCAAAACTTCCCATTGGAGATGTGTGCAATTAAAATCACGTGAATAAAATGGTTCACACAATCAGTCATTAAAACACATGGGAAGCCACTGTCCAACTGCTTCCTGTCATCTTGATCTTTATGGTTGTTGATACCCTCAGTGATACCAAAAAAATGTTTCCATTGTAGTTTTGTGACATAAATACATTTTGATTATGGGCAAAAAGAAAGAAACAAAAAAACACCTTACACCAAAATTTCTTATTTAATAACATGAGTATTTTTCTTTTTCAAATTGTCTAGTCTCCATAAAGCAAATTTTTGTTTATGAAATATCAAATTCCACAATTACATGGTGAATGGACTGGTGCTATTGACCCGGAGGATTAGTGTATGTAAACTTCTGATTGGAAGTGTAACTACGTCGACTCTGACTGCTGGTAAGATAATGACTATTCTCACACCTGCATCCTGTCTCTTTAGACCACAGGAAATTGTGTCAAGTAGAAATACAAATGTTAAACTACAAAAATGCTTTAAAGTGAGTTAGTGGTGCATCGGTCCAGGTCCACACTGCCTGTTACAGGATGGATGAGCCAAGTCCTGTTTCTACTTACAGTGTCCAGACGTTTCTGTTTCTGAAGAATGTAAAAAGTGTTGTGCTTCGGAGCGTTGGGAAGATGAATCAAACTCATCAATGAGAGTTTAAGTCTCATCACTACTTGATGGAGAAATGTAAAATATTACATTGCTGAGTTATTAGGAAAGTGATGAGTTGATGGGTTCAGTTGAGTAGATGACTGTGGGAGAAGATGGAGATTCCTCTTTCCATTCTTGTCCTCTTGCTCTCCATCATGTGTGTGTGTGTGTATCGTACAGAGGCGAGTCTCCCCATCTGCAGCTCAACAACCTGTGTGAAGGACAGTGAAAGAAATTAGCAGCGACTCCTGCCTCTGTCTCATGTGCCGTGTGTTTGCGTTCTGAGTGTGTTTGTGTACAAAGGACAGAAGAAGGGAGGGTGTGAAAGGCAGAGTGAAAGAGAGCAGGTGTTGGAGTGCTTAATGGCTGATAGTGTGAATGGCCACTGCTGGTCCGTCCAGATTAAGGGAATGAACTTCTGCTTTGTCTCCAGACCGAGCGCTGCAGCAGTACTCAGTCCATCGGGTTCTTCTGGGACGTTTAAAGAAGCTAAGAAAGATTTCCTCATCAGTGCCTCCTATCCACTTAGAACATTTGACAACGATTTAACCCTCTGGAAGTGTGGAGCCCATCTGTTGCGTCTGCCTCTACATTCACTTCAACAAAGAGCACAGGGCACAGTTTTCACACAGAACGGATGCAGCATCAAATAACGCCTATTTTTCTGCTTCTCCTCCAGTCAGCTCTTTGCATCACATGTGACTCTCTCCTGTCTGAGGCTTTGCTCATCATAAAAATACTCCAAAACACTTGGGCTGTTTTGTGTATTGCATAACTAAAATCAATGTGCATTAATATATTACAATGACTTGACACACTCAGCTCATAGACCAGAAAAGTTTGAGGAAGATGACATTACCATAGCTTTGGACATTGGAAGTCAAGTTTTGTTGCGATGTATAATTTGTTTTCTGAAAAATTTCAAGCCAGTGCACAAGGAGTCATTTTCACATATGCAGACAAGAATAGAGGGACAGCCACAAATTTAAATATATCCCACTGTTGAATCACAACCAGATGGGAAGTTGAGCTTCAAAATGCATAAAACAACAAATAAAGGGCTAAAGCAAGAGACCCTCACCCTCCAGAAACATTGGGCAATTTATTATAAACCACAAATAAACTGAGACAGGCTTTTCATCACCTAATTCTAAGTTTAAGATTATAAGCCTAGAAAAAACAACTGAAAATGTCAAAAATGTGTGTGAATGAGTAGCTCCATGTCACACTAGTACCGGTGGAACTTCCAACATGTCTGCTCTGTCTCACTGCAAAGGGTGGAGGCTCCCTGCAAATCCAAAAATACATATTTGGAAAATAGATGGAGATGTGACCGCTGAAGAGGTTGGTCGTTTTTTAGCCCTGCTTTCACAGATTACACCTTTTGATTACTGATCCTGCAGTCAGCATCAGTAAGAGCATTTTGTGCGTCAAAGTTTTGACTTGTGCATTTCTTCTTCAGACGACAATAACAGCTCAGGGAGGAGATTCATCTTCTCACAGACTGTCTCATAACACACTGTCACGACATGGTGACACTTTTAACAAATATGTACAAAAACATATTATTTTCACAAAAGTTACATAGTGTAGTGCGAACATTTGATACAAAGTTGAAACAAACTAATTTTGTACCTGATGGTTTAAACCCAGTCAGCTGCACCACCTGTAAATAAATAAACAAACATTGTGCATTTATATTTAGCTTCTAAACATAGCAAAGAACTAAGGACATTGTGGTCAATTGTTTCTTTGTTGAAATTTATAAATCAATACAGGTAAAATTCTGTTTATTTGCCTTCATGTGGTTCCTTATCTGTAAAGAGAATACACTAGAGGATGAGGAATGGAGTTGAGTGTGTGAAGAACAGGCCGATTCTTTTTGGCTAATACTAAATAGCACAATCTGCTACTGGCTCTTTTTTTGAGCTTTTGGTACCTATCCACTTAGAACATTTGACAACGATTTAACCCTCTGGAAGTGTGGAGCCCATCTGTTGCGTCTGCCTCTACATTCACTTCAACAAAGAGCACAGGGCACAGTTTTCACACAGAACGGATGCAGCATCAAATAAAGCCTATTTTTCTGCTTCTCCTCCAGTCAGCTCTCTGCATCACTTGTGACTCTTTCCTGTCTGAGGCTTTGCTCATCACAAAAATACTCCAAAACACTTGGGCTGTTTTGTGTATTGCATAACTAAAATCAATGTACATTAATATATTACAATGACTTGACACACTCAGCTCATAGACCAGAAAAGTCTGGCTCTTTTTTTGAGCTTTTGGAACCTCAGTTGCAAACACTCAGGGTCAGGAACCTGTATGCTCTGATTCTGCTACAGTGGTTTTTTGGCACCTGCTCTGCCTGTTTGATTGATGTCACATAACCTGCAGCACTATGTGGAGGAATCCCCAGTGCAAACTCCAAATGAAAAGTCAGGCTCTGTTTAATGGGGGACGTCAGAGATGGAAGTGACAGATAAAGATGTGTCTGCACTTAGAAACCACAGGCTGTAAGTCTTCTACAGATTTACAGTGAAGGTTTGCTGGAGTAAAGCTGTCATCATCATAGAAAGACATGGTGATGAGATATCAGTGTTCGTACATGTACTGGGGTAAATGACAAGCTGACTCCCATAGGAATGACCCACATGTCCTGGCTATTCCTCCTGCACATGCTCATCTCATCTCTGTTCAGTCCTGGTAACAGTCACAGTGTGTCGGGGTCAACTCACAGCTATTTTCACATGTATAAAGTGTAAAAACTGATCAGCAACTTATTTGCATAATCCATTAGTCAGAACTGACCAGGCGAAATCTCATCATCTAGGAAAGACTATTTGCATAAAATGTAATGAACATTTTTTGTATAGCCCACAAAACTTTCCTAACTAATTCAAGGATTCATAATGGGTCTCCTTTAAGAACTCTGATTGAGACAATTGTTTACAGCCCATTCAGTTTACTGTCACAGCAGAGCATTGAGTTAAAAATGTCATACCCATTTTACATTGGGTAATATCAGATCAAGATATTTCAAACTTCAACAAAGTCAATAATATCTGAACAGCTGTGATTCCAACTACTCCGTGCTACATTTTCTCCAGGATAATCTCACCTTAATTCCACTGAACACCTGAGAATCAGCTCAAACAACACAAACACAGTGAATGACAGGCAGCAAATGTTGCAGCCATCATGCGGCAGAATGTGGCCTAGCTTCAGAGGTATGGTTGTGTACAGTTCTCCTCTTCTCTACTGAAGCTCCTGGTTCCTAATTGTGCATTAAGTTTGAAATATGACTTCCTGTTTCAGTTATTCATAATAAATAAATAACTCCAAACTTGTCAGTTGCAGTATATGTTTTGTAGCATTTTTCCACATACTCAACTCCAGCAGAGTTGAGTCCACATAGTCAACTCTGCTGCTTAGTCCACAGATGCATTTTCCTTCTAAAGATGTCTTCATCTAAAAGGAAATAAACAAGCTTTCCAATGGAATACTAAGACTGACTGTCATGAAGCATTGTTACAACAAAGAAATAATCAACAGTTTCCTTAGTTGTTGCTTTGTTTAGGATTTTAGAAAACGTTAATGTCGCCCAAACATTACTCACTTGGTTTCCTGATGAGTGTCTCAAAGAGAAACTGACAACGTTTTCCTTTTTAAAACTCTCTGAAAGAAGCAGAAGAAATAATTTATTTCAGCTGAATGTTTGGGTTTGTCTCTTGAGATCCACTTCTTTGTTTATGCAAGGTCAAAAAACGTAAGTCAGCCTGAATATAACACAAGCAAAGCTTTTTAGAACACAAAGAGGAGCTAAAATTTAAACAGCCCAAAAGGAAAAGAATGAAATCTGTCAGTTCTGCATGTCTTTACTGATACATTTACTTTATTATCTTGGTGCCAAATTGTCAGTAAGTGGATGCATTGTGCTTTAGAGAACTGACTCCTCCATGTTCAGGTTGGATGGACGTGTCTGCCAGCCATTTTCAGATCTCACAGATGTTCTTTCAGATGGTTTGCCCCCTCCAGAGCATTCCCAGGGAGGTTCTGAAGCCTTAGAGGTCTGGGCCGGGTACTTTAGGTCGTTGTCCTGATTGAACTGATGTCAAGCAGCAGGCTTTCATTCAGGATCTCTCTGTGCTTTGTTATCATCTTTCTATCTATTCTGACTGGACTACCACCTCCTGCTGCTGCTACACATCCCCCTAGCACGATGCTGCCACTGCCGTGCTTCAATGTAGGGACAGCATTGATCTGATGATGATGTGTGTCTGATTTCCTCCAAACATGATGTCTGGCATTCACATCAGAGTTCAGTCTTTGTCTCATCAGAGCAGAGAGTTTCTGTTGGCCTGAGGTCCGTCTCCAGACTCGCTGCCATGAGCCTTTTATTAAGGCATGGCTTTCATCTAGACGTGCTAACGTCCAGGTTGACTGGTGGATTCCTGCAGAGAGGGTTTTCCTTCTGGAAGGTTCTCTTCTCTCCACAAAGTAATCCTTCAGCTCCAACAGAGTGACCATCAAGTTCTTGGTCTCCACTTTGACTACAGCTGATCACTCAGTTCAGAAAAAGTCCTGCTGCTTCCAGCAGACTTCCAGTGATTGAGGCCGCAGAGCAGCAGAAATGTTTCTGGACCTTTCTCAAGATTTGTGTCTCAAGACCATCCTGTCTCTGACATTTAGAGATAGTTCCTCTGACTTCTTGCTTGCTGTTTAAACCTCTGACCTGCATTGTTAACAGTGGGACCTCCTATGGACAGGTGTGAGTTTTTCAAAATCAAGTGCAGTCAATTGAATTGACCACAGAGACTTCACAAGGATGATCAGTGGAAATGTCTCAATTTTTAGCTTGATGGCACTTTGTGTATATTTATGTGATGTGATTTCTTAGTTTTCAATTATAATTAATTGCTTTAGTATAATTTGGAATAAAGCCGTAACATAACAAAATGTGGAAAAAGTGAAGCGCTGTGAATGCTTTCCTGAGGCACAGTAAATGGTCTGCATTTTTACAGCTTTTTATCAAGTCCAAGGACACCAAAGTGCCTTCCACTACATTCAGTCATTCACCCATTTGTGCACACATTCACACACTGATGGTGGGAAGCTACCTTGTAGGCAGACTGACAAACGCCCAAGGACAAAAAGACCGAGACAGACAGAACAGCGGTTTGAAACGATAACACACTGTTAAACTCCTACCTTCTGAGCCACTTATTATAGAAAGAACACTGACATAAAGCCTGGACATTGGACGAGGGTGGCTAATGAAATCTAATTTGGAGCCTCTAATCCAATGATGGATTAAAGGATCATTTCAGACTTTCGGTTTGTGGCTGTTTCCCTTGGCGTCTCCCTCAGTCTCCATCTGAATCATGGTCAGACAGTATGAAGGGTCTTCTGAAGTGACTTAAAGTTTTTTAGAGCTGCCCTATGGCCTCTGAGGTACATCAGTTGAGTTTTCAACGAAACCAATAAATCCACATTCTGCCCAAACTGCCAAAGCAAGAGAGTAAAAAGGTACCAGCATTAAACAGGCCTACCTTTAACTGCTGACATGTCCAAAGACTGAGAATTTTTGGAGAATTTTGATTTAAAATTGAATTGACAAACTTCTTCTTTTCTTCTTTTCTTTGGAGGAGGAATGTAAAAGATGAAATCCTGAACACTGTGTCTGCTGGTAGCCCTGAGGCCATGACACCTTTTCTTGTAATAAATGGGAAAAATGCACTATGGTAATCAGAGGTTTATAAAAATGATTTTAGTGACACTGTATATTGTTACTATGAGTTAAATTTTTTTCTTTTATTTCTATTTTGAATACAGATATTTATGGCTGTGTTTTGCTGGAAATGTCTTTTTTTATTTTAGCTGGTTTGTCTTTATTTTCCTTTTTTCTATCTAAAGATTTTTATTTATGAAAGGCAATATAAGAATAAACTTTTTGAAATGTATGATTTAAAAAGAGTTTAAATTCTTTTCTCTGATGCATTTCCTACAGCAGAGCATCTCCATGCAATTGATGAGCCATAATCTACTGCTGCAGTACACAAGGCGGTCTTATGCCATTTTTAATGTCAAACCCACTTTAATATCACTCAGTTGTGTAAATTATGAACTTTTGAAGCTCAATAATGCTGGTATTTAAAAAAAACGTTTCCTTCTTTTTTCTCAGCTTCTTGAATAGGAGAGAACTATTGTGCATTCATTGTATTCTTTTTTCTTCATTAAGTACAGAGAGAAAAGCACACTCAGCTGAAGGTCTGTTGTCTCGTTGCTTTGTTACAAAGCTTTACCAAAGAAGTGAAAACTTTTAAGCAATCTTGTTTGAACCCAAAAGTTCCACCATTTAGAACATGTGAAACACAAAAAAGTAGAGCTGCCAGGAAATACATAAACATCCAGCACAGACACATAGAATCATTTCTCTGAAGTTGTCTTATTAGTGTGGGACTAATGGGACTTTATATAATGAGTAGTAATTCTTTGTGCTGGTTAAATATTATTAAGTAAATTTTTATATTTTTCAGCTGCTGCTCTTAAAGGGGCAGTATTATGTAAAATAGATTTTTTTCGTTTTACATCATGTAAAAATGTTATTTCCAAATTAAAAACACACCTAGAGTGTGGCCTTAGGAGCTACCTCTCCATACAGCACTGGTAGAAACTTTGGTAAAGAGTCAATAGAGGAGCCATGTTGTGATGACTACCTGAAGGCAGAGTTTCAGAAAGAGCTGGCGTTTTTGAAGAGACAAAGGCCCAGATTCAAAGCGCTGAATTACAAAATCAAGTTTCTTTTAAATCACATTTGATATATACAGTATTTATTTATTTATTTTAAAAACTGGAGGAAACATAGTTAATTTGTGCCTATGTAGGCATAGGCACAATAATGTGCCTATGTGCCTGGAAAACACAGTACTGCCTCTTTAACATACCTAAATGTAGAAAGGAGCATCATGAAAGCTATACTCTCATGAGTTTCTCATTTTGTCTACAAGCTATGTCAAAATTAAGCTTTTTTTTAACCACAGATTTTGGGTTGTATTTGTTTTTTTTCTTTTGTAAACTATGCATCATTATTTATTTAGAACTTTTTACCATTTTGTGCCAGCAAATCACATAAAATAAGTAAAACCCACTGAATGTTCAGGTTGCATCAGGACTAAACATTAACATGTGCCAGAATTTGTTCACATATTGTGTTGTTAGTACACAAACCACATGCTCCCAGGTATCAGTCCAGTCAGGACTCTAAACAGATCTGCTCTCATATCAAAAACAGTTTGATTTAAAAGCTGAATAGTTTTTAGTTTTTATGCCTCCTAATTTACCAACTGAAGATGGTTTTTAGCCTGAGAGACTATCTCTCTTATGTCTCATCTAAAGAAATGGGAATTTCCTAGTTTTTTTTGTTGTTGTTTTTTTGGAACATTGGTCTCAATGTCTGACTGGGAAAAGACATGTTCTTTTCCAAGTCAGAGACGTTCTGCTAAGTAACCAGTGGAACCTAGAGCAAGTTGTAGCGTACCGTTCTTGATGACCAGTGATGTGGAAGTGGAGCTGAGGGGTCCAGAGGTCTCACTTGTTTCTCGGCTGGAGGAGGTTGGGGGGCTCCGGCTCCAGGAGGTTGTTGGAACCTTTTGGGAGGGAAGGAAGCTGGTGGGCTGAGAGCAGTTCTACAAAACACAAGTCAGTTTTTGTGTTACACATCTCTTCTCCTTTTGGACTATAAAAGTTTCAGATTAGGGTTTCCCTCAGTGGGTTATGAACAATAATAAAAAAATAAAAAAAAGATCACATTTATTGTAACTGTATATTTTTTATTGTATTAAAAACACACATAATTGGCTGATCATATTTTCCAAATTTATGTCAACTTAAAACATTTTTTAAAGCAAAATCACAGTTTGCCGCCGGATGACTGCCCTGGAGCCCCTACCTCCTGGTTTAGCATGTTTTCAATGGGGAACCATATAGATCTTAAAAAAAAAAATCATAATAATATGATATGTTATGGAATGTGTGTTACAGCCTAGCAGCTGAAATTGTGGAGAATTGTTTTGCACATTTTCATACTAATACATCATAATTGTCTGTATGTGACAAATTACAATCTCTTTATAGGGTCTGATTGATGTTGAAAAAAACATAAAGTTTACTATTTTATATAATAATAAATAAAGGTAGGCAGTAAGACTATGTGATGTGCACCGCTCTGTGCGTAGATGTGGATCTACTTACTGTGAAAGACAGAGCCTTTCTCTTTTCTTTGATCCTCTTTATGGCATTCCTCACCTAAATCAGATTCAGGCTTTATTCTCACTCCTTTTGTCCTCACATATTGTACAAATACACAGTTTATTTTTTATATTTTGTTGCAGATCCAGCAGCAACTCTAAAATGAACTCGAATGCCTTCTTACCTCACTGTTGTAAACAGCATACACTAAGAAGATATACAGCCCCTGTGGATAGAAGAAATAATGAACAAGCAATAGAAAACAAACCTTTATTGACAGTATGTCTCTATTTAGCATTCCACATCCCAACCTCTGCAAAACTATCTTTTTTCTCTCCACTAATAAAAAGGAAGCATTCACTGCAAATTCACTTATATTCATTTGTGCTTCCTTTAACGCTGCACTGGATTCAGGAGGGTCTGGTTTTCAGCTCACAGCAAAGTCCACATTTGATCTCCTAAGTTTAAATAACAGAGGCTACATCTTTGGCAGAGAAATTATAAAATAGTCTGTTTTTCAGGGATTGATATTTGTTGGCCTTGAGTTTATCCAGACATTGAGATAAGTAGACATGTTTTCCCTCCACCCAACTATCAATGCTTTGCAACTGCGGTGGCACCAAGGTTGGCTCTTACTTGAAAGAATTATTATTTTCTATGAATTGTTTAAACTGATCCCCAGGTTTTTTCATAAAACCTGTGATATAAGGACATGCGCCAATATTTCTTGATAGCAACTGCAGTGTTCACCTCCTTTTTTTGTCTCCAATATTGATGTTGGATAATAACACAGAGGCTGTTTTCAACTATTTTCAAGGCAAAGGGCAAGTCACTCTCACTTGTGCTTCAAGTGCACTTTTTAAATTTTTTTTATCATTCTATAAGGTTTAAAATTTGAACAGGTTTAAAAATGAACAAAATATTCATACATTGGTATGAATATTTGATAGTTAGCGGGCACAGACCCGCCCCCTTCCTCCTCACCACGGACCCGGAGTCTGAACAACATGGAGGCAGAGAAACTGAGTTATTATTAGACTGAAGGCAGCCAGACTAGTTTATTTTGATAAATTATTATATTTAGCTAAATATTATTCCTGAGAGGTTTTATGTGATGTAAACATCTCCAACAAGCATAAAAACGCTCAATTTTTCTTTTAAAAAGTGTTTCTCTTTTTAGAACTTGCGGGCCCCTTTATAGGTCTATTCTAGTTTCTGGAGTGTGCTGTTCATCAGCAGGAACAAGAACTGAACCCAGAACCTTGAAGAAGACCACCCTAACACCGAGCTGCAAGAGTTTCTGTTGCAGAAATCATGATTTTGATGTCTCATGTGGATTTGATGTGTGCTACAGAGGTGAAAATATGCTCAAACAGTTCAACTTGTAGGGACAACAACAACGTTTAAAATGCACGTCTGAGATTCCAGAGTATATCCCACAAATACCGGAGCTTATTAAGCACATCCTCTGTTATTGGCTCTTTCAATCCTTCTTTTTTCCTGTTTCATTAGTTAGGAGGGAAGCTGCTGGCTCTGCCTCATCCTCCTATCACCATGAGGAAGAACTCCTACTGTAGTGTTATCTGGCCTCAACTGGACACTGGCAGTAAATCTAAATTAACTAGCAGCTTTCTGGGGTCACCCAAGGGCTAACCCATTTTGATTAATTAAAGACCAGGGAAGAGCAAACAGGGACGATAGAGGTAAGGAGAGGCAAGCAAAAAAAAAAAAAAGAAAAAATGAAAGGACATAACAGGGAAAGTACATGAAAAACATGGAGGGGGGATTTATATGAAAAAAGGAAGCAAAGGAAGCATGTGAGACGCAGGAAATGAGTGCCATGTTATCTGGGGAGGAGAGGTGAATGTAGATGTAAAGTTGTTCAAAGCTTTGCCAACAGCTTTCATGTTGAAATGGATCTGAATGTGAAAGTAACAGCCTTCTGAAGCAACATAAAGCAAATGAATGAAAAATAGAGAAATCATCTATATCTTGAAAATGCAGAAATTTAATCAGAAGAAGCTGTTATATCTGGCTAAGAGCACTAAACTACTAAACATTATATATAAATGCATGCACTAAAATAATTTTCTGCTGTAAAACAAAAATTGTTTTACAACAAGGGTATTACAGAATCAAGGCAATTGTTGAAGACTCAATATTGATTTTGTGGCACTGAAAACACTTGCACATATAGATGACATACATTGTTGGAACCCATACGTTAATATTAAAGAAAATTATTATGAACATGATTAAATTATACCTTAGCAAAAATGAACCAATGAAAATTAGACATTGCTTTGAAATGTGGCTCAGCTAAAAAAAAAAAAAAAAAAAAAAACTAATGAAACATGCCTGGCAAACGTGATGATACCTCTAACATGTCCCTGATGTGACCGCAGGGACATGTTAGACTTTGACTGTCCTCTAGTTAGGATTACAGGTGTCTTCTTGCTTCTAACCAGTCAGGCTGCCTATTTAAAGGGTGATAAGTAGTCAATAGCTGTGCTTCCACTACTTATTTAATTGTGCAATTTGACATTTTGAAAATAAATTTGCATAATTGAAACACCCCGATTTAAAAGAAAAACAAACACTGAACATAGGCCACATATAAGAGAACTGTTCTGGATTGGAGAAAAGATTGGACCATATCTTGTAGATAAAGGTTATCAGACCAAGCAACTTGATGCTCCAGTGACCACAACTCCACACATTTTTCGGAAGTTTAAGGTCCGAGATGAAAATACTTTTATAATCACAGTTTCAAACTAAGAAATTACACTTTTTATAGTTGACCTCAGGCTTCCACTGTCGCGCTTACAGTAAAATCTGGTGGACTTTATTTTACCATGTCAATCAGTGAACAGGAGGAGAGTTTGTGAACGGTGATATTGGTTTTCTCTGCTGCTTCAGAACTTGCTTGGGGTTTTAACAAAATGCCAGCCAAAGAAACCGTTCAGTCCCTGCTGGTCAGGCTTCCAACACAGACTACGGAAGCAAGGCTGTGAATTAAGATTCACCCCATTCGGATCAGCTCTTCTCTCTTCACAATGGAGGACCGTTGTTTACAGCAAAGGCAACTTCTGGTGAGCTTAACGTCAAACTGGCTAATTAAGGGCGAACGTTAGTGAGTAGGTTAAATTGAAAACCTCAATAGTGGGAAGCAATTGTTTCTCATCAGCCAACGGCCAGCCTAAAACAAGGACTGTTTCTGACCACACTACACTTTCTGTGACGTATATTAAAGTTTTAATTGTACTTTGTTGCATAGTTTAACTAAAAAAAGAAAACAAACAAAAAACATAATGACATCAGGTTAGATCTGTTGCATGCCTATTGTTTTGACAGTAATGATGTCACACTTTTTTTTTCCATCTTGCCTTTGTCAAAGTATAAATGGCACCATCAGAATTCACTTCATTCTTGCTTACTTGGAAGGAATTGAGGATAATGAAGACGTAGCTGACAACCACAGATAGATGGACCAGCACGCCACACATCCACGTCAGACCCAGAACCGGCAGCAGGATGAGAACTGGACGGGTCACAGCCCTAAAAGCACACAGAGAAAGCATCAGCATTAACCCTGTGGAGTTGGTTCGGGTGACTACAGTCTATAGATAATCAATTGAAACCAGTAGTAGCAAAATGCAGTTTCAGGTGAAAACCACAACAAGCTGTTAGAAGTCTCCAAAAGAGACAAAGACAGAACTTCACATATAATAATGTAAGATTGATGCAGATCAAGTCAAAAATTGTTAGGACACCAGAACAAAGCAAGAACTGAATGTGAATCGCAGTATTTCAGGAAAAAACAAAGACTGAAGTGTGCAGCATTGGAGGGGAAAGCGTCATGGTTTATTGTAGCAGCATCTGTGAAGCCCTCCATCATATAAGCGTATGGTGTACCTGAGGGAGCCTGCAGAAAATGTGAGGCCAACTGTAAAAATCAATCAAATCACACATTTGATTGTTATCAGACATTGCATTTTCAATCTAAGGAAACCCAGCAGATGGCATTGAGTCACTGACTTGCAGCATTCACTGCTCCTGGATGAGCACACAGTGATTGCTTGCATTGTGCGTTGACCTTACAGCAATCCCTCGAACCGAGCATGCATATTGATACATGGACATTTGTTGTCCTTATTTTCCGTCATATGCATCAGGTTAAAACATATTCAGCCTTGCATTTGTGTGTCTTGTCATTCTTGAGGTCTTAAAAAGAAAAGAAAATCATTGAATGAATTGTAAAGACACTTTATTGTTGGCTGTTTCCCTGTTGAATCCACACCAAAAATCTATGTGTAAGTGTAGAGTTTTGCCCAACTGCTTTCATTCTCCTGCTCCTTTGCAACCATCCTTTCAGTGATCTTGGTTCTGATACGGCCAATAACCATTTCATCGGGCAAAGCAGAAAACATTGCCTTTGTTTAAACCACCATTGTTGCCACAGTGCTGCACCTGGATGGAGAGATTGAGTTTTTCAGCTGCACTGTGTCAGCAAGGACAAAGCCGACTCACTCTTCTCTTTATTTCCGAAAGTTGTTTTCCCTCCTATCTCCTGAATTGATGTAACACGACTGGCACATACATCCGTCTGTTTGTGAGTGAATGAAGTGAAACGGCTACAGAGGAGAAGGAATGGCATTGTGGCATTTCCATTAGTTGCAAACAAACATGCAGTAAAAAATGTAAAGGTGGAAGAGCTTCTTAAAGGTAGGCTTTATGAATACAAATCCAAACTCTGGCTGCAAGGAACATTCTGTTTGACATTTTTTTCCTTTTTTCCTAAACACAAATGTTTGAGTGTGGCATTTTCTGCATTCGAACAACCAAACAACTTTCAAAGGTTTGAATGTGTGTGGCAAGGTGGCTGTTTTCTATATGGATGTTTTGGTTTTATATTTGTGTTGTGAGTGTTTGTTTTTTTTTGTGTGTGTTTTTTTTGGTGGGAATTGTTTCCCAGGTGTCTCCTGTCTGTTACGATGGGAGAGTGTGGCTGGAGAAATAAAAGGAGGGGAGATGGAGCGACCAAGGCGTCACCAGCTTCGGCCCGCTTCCGGGGGTATCGAGCCACCGAGCAGCTGAGCGGCAGAAACAGCGAGACGGCACGGCCCGCACCGGAAGTATGAACTGTTGACATGCAGGGAGAGGTTGAGCAGCAGCGGTAGGGATGTGAGGTCCCTTCCGCCACCACAGAGTAAGAGAGGTGTGACCATAACGGGAGACCACATCAGAATGGGAGATGTGCTTAAACAGAGAGTGAATGATGGGCTGCCTGGCAGTCTTATTGCAGATATGAGGGGAAGGAAAAAATGGCATTGGGGCGAGGAAATCAATCTGTCGTTAAAGAATGAGTTGTCATAATAAAACTAGAGAAACTTAAGACAGGACTGAAATTAGGTAAAACAGAAGGCTAATCAAGCAAAATAAGAAACTAAGGAAAGCAGAATAATAATGAAACTAGAATCAACTAATCCAACCCCCCAAAACAACTCGACCTGACATGGAGCTGAAAGCATCATGAAGTACAACATGGGCATCACCACCACAGACGCCACTGTGAATTTGACATGAACCAGAAATTTGTCAAGACAATTAATAAAAAAATGAAGGCTGATGCAGAACTGCACCCAGCGCATACCAGCAAACCTACCAGTGACGAACTGAGTGTTAACAAATTGAGAGTCCTGACAGTCAAAGCTGTTGATGAGAGGTGAAACTTTCCTCAAGCTGATGCTGTTGGTCGGCTCAAACACACTTCTTTCTAGCTATCAGAGGGCAGGATGTCCTGACCTCCCCTCAGTTAGAAAACACATTTCTCTTTATCTCTGTAAAGAGGGAAACGAGGATCATTTTTGGTGTTTAAATGAAAATAAACCAGTTTGCTTCAGGAGATAAAAGATGATTAGACAACAACATGTGAATGTTTCTTTGGACAGATTGGATTTTTGATGAGGTGTCTAAGTTTTCTCCACATGGCTCATCATCCAGTTATCAATTTTACAAATATAAATAATACTGGAAACATGCATACAATTGTAGAATAATTACTGATAATAGCCATGTTTGCATTATAAATGTGTACAAATCTTTGTCAATATTCTGATGCTAATTTTGAAAGAATACAATTTTGCATTTGAATTGTTACCAATAATGAAGAAATGAAATTAAAGTCATAGTTGAATAAGGTTGTTCAAGCAATAAGTCAGTAAAAATAATAGCAGCCACAGATATAAGCAGTCATATGAAATGTATTCATAATTCAGCCAATCAGAGAAGACGTTGGCGTCTTATTCAGGCATTGGAGCAACAAGCGCCATAAACAAGTAAAAGGAGCTGCATAAACGCTGCATAAGACATGTACAGTGTTTTGGGAAAATTGCAATTGGCAATTTTACAGCAGAGCTCTGGATTCAACATGTTGGAACGACGCACAACTTCTTATGAACTGTGATGCTGTAGAAGCTCTGGTGCAGCTGCACATTGTCCGAAAAACAAAAACAAACCATCATCCTCCTCCTTCCTGCCGTCTTCCTCGTCGTTTTTGCCAGTTAAGCTTGTGTGGTGCCATCACCAATAAGAAACATTTTTTAATGAAAAATGTTGTGGATCTAGACATTCTAGTACAGGCAGATATTTAAATTTAAAAAGAAAACAACAAAGATTTGACTGCAATCCAAAATAACTCTATTGGTGCATTTCTAATACCAAGCAGTATGGATAATACAATGCAAACACGACCTGGCAGAGGAAAGGCTTGACAAAAAGACAAACAACTGTGCTGAGGCCAGGTGTTAAGTTGATAAGCCCTTGTAACTCCCACAGTAAACTCCCAGCCTCACACACTGCTTCCATTGAGTCCGGTGCTCCTCAAGCAAAAAAGGAAAATAGTGTGTGGGTTGGTGTGTGTGAGTGTGGAAGAGCGTGGTTAGACAGCAGGAAACAATTCGTGAAGGAAAGAGACAGAGATGTTTTTGTATCTCACCAAGTGAGGTCAAAGGTCTGCATTTTCGATGCAAAGCTTGGACTGAGCATCTTAGCGCGGCGATGAGCGCTGGAAACGGTCACCATGACAACGCGGCACAGCACAACTGCATTGACCTGCAGGCAGAACATAAAAGCGGCAACAATGTGTCAGTGCTGAGCCACTTGGCCTTAAGCGGACGGGAGCATTCAGCTGCACCAAAATAGATCTCAGCACACACCTGAAGCAGAAAACACCTCTGTGAAGAAATGTTTTGGATGGAAGGAGTGATACTGCGAGTTAGTTGTTTTCTATAAGATTCGTTTAAATCTTACTGCCATTGTCGCTGCTGCAGTTTGACTACAGAGATGTAATTTTGCATTCAGTGCATCATGAACAAATATTCTATATTTATGTCAGGAATAAAATAAAGAGCAGAAGCTGACATGCTCATTCTATGAACAGCGTCAAGAAGCTTTTAATTATGCATGGACATGAGTTAAGCAAACCTTAACTCATGTTAAGGTTTGCAGTGCACAGATGAACAGCTCACAATATGAATACATACCGTCAAGACAAATATGACCGGACCCACAAAGGCCCAGATGGTGTCAGTTTGCACACTGAGCCAGCAGTGATCATGTGACTTGTATTTGCCTCTTGATATCACCAATGTTAGTCCAACTATCAGAGCAGGTAGTCCTGAAAAATAGGTCAATGACATAAAATCAACTATGGTGGTGCTGCAACAAAGAGCTTGTTAAAACATCAATCTGCATCAGTTACTGTCACAGTTCAACTGGGTTCAGCTGCATGTTTTGTCTCTCCTGTTCTTTGTTCCTGTTTAGTCTGAGGGGTAAAGACCAGAGTAACAGCTGAAGACTGTTTGTGCTACTGACTCACATCGTGTTCTCGGCTCAGCATGCGACATAACACGTTCACAAATGGATACGGGAACATCTGTCATAAATAAAAACTGGGTTAAGGCTGTTGTGTAACATAACATCATGCAAATAATTATAAGCAGAGAAGATTTAGAATAAACAGAAAATGTTGGAAAGAGCAACCAGCTCTGTGAAGCTGCAAATCAGGTGAGAATAAAAGGTTCTTGGCCCTGGTGGGAAGCATGAGGCAAACATAGCAGAATTACTTTAGCATAACAGATTTTCAGTGGTGGAAAATCTAATTTACAGCCTGGAAAATGGAATATAAAGTATTTAATTTATGATGAGCTGGCATGTCTACAGCAATCAGTGGGTGAAGGCCGTTGTGGGTTTGAATGAAGCTGGAGGATTGTACTGTTCTGCTACCAGTGTGTGAGGACTTCTCACATACATCTACACAAGTGGATGGCAAACTGTGGCTCCCAAGACTCAAGTTAATGTTAATACACATATAGTAAAAAAAAAAAAAAAGCTATATTTCATTTTTTATTTAAGTACTGTATTTCCATAAATAATGGCACTAAAAGTACCAGAAGATCTGCTTTCTTTGTCATTAGGTTGGAATTTACATTCAGTGAATAAAAATATCCATCATTTTTCATTTTTACCTTTATTTTAAATCCTAAAAATGAAAATAAAATTCTGGTTCTTTAAAAATAACAAGCAATTTCTTTTTATATATATATTATATATATATATATATATATATATATATATATATATATATATATATATATATATATATATATATATAAACTTGTAATTATTCTAGAAGTCCTGCAACGTTTGAGGCTTGAAACGAGTTTTCAGCTGTCCTGAAAACAAAATGGCTGTTTTGGTTCAAAGGGTTGCAGACCCCACTCTGTACACCCCCAACCTGACATGGGTCACCATCACATTAGCTCTCAATTGAGCTAATGTGATGCATTAGCTGTGTCTGCTCTGAGAAACTCACTACCAGTAACACATTAAAAAAAAAGATCAAACTGCTTTTTTTTCCTGTAAGTATTTTTGGTCTCTTTAGAAAATATAATTTACATCCTGGACTAATATAAAACAAATTGCAACTGTGCCTCAGATCAGAGTGTGTGTGTCCTCACCTTCAGTCCTTCTATCAGCTCCTGTCATGTTTTTTTTTTTTATTTGTGAACAAACAAGGCGGCGACATGTCTTGTTTTCCCTCACTGCCACTGGGTAAAAAGCATTAACTATAGATGTGTGTACTTTTATTTTTGCTGTGAGATTATTACCATGTCCTTCAAACTGTGGTATTCCATGTGAGAGGAAAGTGTTCTGCATGTCTTCTAAAACAGGGTTGTTGCTTTATTTCTTTTTAAATCTTGACTTCACAAATTTTCAAATACTGTGCAAAAGACTGTCACATTCTTTTTATGTTGTTGTCAAAGTGACGCATGAAAAAGGAGGAAAGGAAGAAATTCAAGCTCATGGTTTACCAGCCAAGTAAACAGACATTCATTTGCCTAATGTAAGAAGAAAGCATATATCATTTTTAGGCAACTTTTAAATTTGTTGATTACATACATTAAGCAAGTCAAATTTGAAAATTTAAATTATTCAGGCTCCTGTTTTTTTTTTTTTTTTTTTCTGAACTCTACAAGTAGATAACTCATAACCGGGATTTTCACCATGGTATGTGTTACTAGAATAACTTAAAAAGAGCTTAAAGACATGTATGTAAAGGTTTGAGGGATTTATGTTTTACTACACTTGCATAATTTCACACTCAACAATTTTACATTTTATAGCATAATGGAGTAACTATGTTATGTCCAGTTGTTAAAAAAATACTGTGTATCTAAAACATGACTTGAAATTAATGAAACTATGCAATTTAATAAAATTAGGCCTCTGTCTCTTTAAGAAGCTTCTACTCTTTCTGACACTGTGCCTCCGGCACGTCATCACGTTTCTCCATTATGCTGTCTATAATCATTCTAAGTAGCGTTTCACTTGTTGATTCATTAGTCTAGAGGAGCTGAGGGGGGGAGATGTGGGGGGGAGCTGATCTGTGAGGCAGGAGCTTGACTGAAGAGGAGCTGATGTTAGACTGAGATAATATTTGACATTAGCCTGACTTGAGTGACTTCTGAAACAATTGGTTGTGCTGAATTTATTTATTTATATCTGTTGGCATCAAAGTTTCATCACCAAAATTTCCATATTTTTGAGAAATATTCAGGCAGTGCAAATTCTTTTGCAAGGACAATGTAAATGTGGCTTGTTGTACATGTCAAAAATCAACGTTGACACCTGAAAAACTTCACTTTCTCCCTCAAACACTGTCATTAAATCTGTGGTAAAAAAAAAATCTTAGCTAAAGCCTTCACAATTTATTTTCTAAAGAAAATTATCACTGCAGATGAGAACCTATATCCACACAGATAGTAATAATCCACTTTGTGAGTTCCTAAGATAGCTTCTGAATCTTAAGAGCCTTATTAGTGAGAAACAGTGTCACAGTAAGGCAAAGAAAATCTTTCATCATCGTGAAGAAGCAAAGCCAACCACTAGACCTCAACACTTTTTTAGGCCTGTGTTTATATTGTCTATTTACTGGATGAGTTCACCTTGACCTGCTCAGCTACAATTGTATGTATAGACTATATGTTAAATATGATTTTATATGCTTCTCAGTTAATTTGATGCTAACAAGCAAAGTGTCTTGTTAACTAATCTCTGGTTGGTGTCTGTTTGGATCATGGAAACAAAGAGCAGAAGGGGCAGAAAGCCTGACTGGAAACAGAGGCGATGTTTCCTGGGAAACCTGCTTAATAAAACTGTTAACAGACACGGTAAAGTTCATATGTTCTACGCTTGTGTCTCCAGTACACACACAACAGATTTCATCACGATACTATATATGACACACAGATGAGCCATAATGGATAGTTATGAAAAATTAGCAACATCCCAAAAATGGAAGCCATTCTGTAACATTAAAACAAACATTTTATGGAACTTGTGAAACAACCTGAATCATCACATATAGGCAGGTGGTTAAACCTTAGTCACTTAAAGGACTGAGAGAGGAATGACTTGTTTTTTTTTATTTAGTAAACATGGGTAAAAGCAGCAAAGCTGTAATCTATGCTATGTTCATTTAAAAACTGTTTATTTAACTGATTTTATTTGCAATCTAAAATCCAGTATGAAAAGAAGTTCGAGATAAAAAGAGAAATCACATGGAGTAGTGTGTGTTATGCAAAATTCGCTGGTAAAACATAATCATACAATTTAATTTCATTGTGATTACAATTAATTACAATATTATGTTCTAAAGAAAATGACTATAGTTACCTACCTGTAAACTATAACATAATAACTATAACATAATTTTAATAAACCTCGTTTTATGACAGAACATTAGAAAACGGACTGTAGGTCTGTATTTTAAATATAGATCAGGAATTTATTTGATGGTGCAGCCTCGAACTGACAGTCAATGGGGAGGCTCACAGTTGAACTTTGACCTCCCACTACATCCATCAGCAGATGGTGAGTCAGGTCTGGGTCAGTCCTCTGCCTGACACCAATGAGAACCTTTGGATACTTTTCTTGACTGGAAAGATTTCACTCGCTGGTTTGAATGTTCTCCAAAGGACATTTTTAATTTCTCAAGACAAATGAGTCTTGGTTATTGTAAATATTTCTTATTGTTCTAGTTGTTCATAAATAAAAGCCATAATTACTACGTACACTTGTCTCCATGGGTTAGTAATACTCCTCTCTTCTGCGTGGCTATATGTGACATGTACACACTCAGTGTACAGTCACACTCAGTGATGTTTATTTAGAGCCAGCCCACGGTGCTGTTGTGTTTTTAAGAACCAGAGAAATGCTAAGTTTTGACCATCAATAAGGCGTTTACCCCAGCCTATGATGTAGTAGAGCCTCATCCTGCGGTCCTCGCTGATGTTAACAGAAACCACTTTGCTCCAAAGAAGAAGACCCTCAACTAGCATCCAGCAGAAGGATGCCATGAAGAAGAGATGAAGCAGAGCAGTCACCAGGAAACATGCAGCCTGAAGGGTTAAACATAGAAAACACCTGCAATTAATCTTGAGACTTTAGTAGTGTGCATCTTGATCAAAACAGCACATCTTTGCTACATCCTGTTTTCAGGAAATAAACAGTGATCATGACTTGAGCTGTCAGTCGATTAAAAAATGCAATTGGATTAACCACACTGTGATTTATCATGATCAGTCTCTTTTTGCCTGACTTTGTAAACTTGAAATCTATATTGTTTTTCTTGCAGGCCTGGTGCCCTGGGTGAACCCCTCCTTCTGCCACATTCCAGCCAAATTAAAATGCAAGATGTTTTCTGTTTTTGTTGTTGTTGTTGTTTTTTGTTTGTTTGTTTGTTTTTGCTGCACATAGGAAGTAATCTAGTCTCCCAATACCCGATACTCAAGAGCAACAAAACTTACTCCACTGCACAAGTAGAAGCAAAGTTGGACAGCTGACAGATTTTTTTATTTTCTAGCTCTTGGGTGCCCCACCAATTTCTGATGCCGCCCTGGGAAACTGCCCATATAGTCCATATCAAAAAACACCAATGTACAGTATTTTTTTAAAACGATGAAGAAAATCTTTTATTGTCTGAAGATCCTCAGTTTTCCAGGCTTTAAATGTTAATTTAGAAATGTCCCTCTCTATTCACTTCCTATGGAACGATGAGGTAGCAGCCTCTTGTCCTATTCCGTCTGAGAGTTTGCCATAATTCATTCACATGAAGACCAGCAACACAACACAAGAAAGTTAAAAATGTTCAAATTTGTTTCTGTCTGCGGTCACAGAGAACTTTCACCTTTCTCTGCTGTTCGTCGCTCACCCTGTGTTGACACATTAACACATTAACATTTTCAGATAAATCTCATCTTCACACGTTAACGTTGACACCCTGAGTCGTAATCCACCGGACTGAATGCATTATGAATACATGTTTTTACAATATGGTGGAAACATTTTATGTGATTAATATTGGGAGTGTTCAAGTTTGTACACTTTAAGTCAGTAATTGAAAGTGTCTCACCTGATTTTCTGCAGCCCAGTCGCTGCACATCAGCAGCAGCTCAGCGAGGCCCAGAGCGGCTATCAGGTTTTTATGGACAGTGGTTCGGTCTGATTTGGGGACACTGAAAAAGTCACACACGCGCATGCACACGCACACGCACACATGCATGTACACATAACATCATGTGTGAGCAGTGATGTGTGAGAGAAGCTCTCCCACAGTTATTGAAAAATGATTTCCTGTAGGGATGCTCACACATCCACACAATTTTCAGCTTTTTTTTTCTTATTGATGTGAATCTGGCAGGGATTTATGAAATGCTTTTCACCCTTGATGCTTTCAGAATGCTCTCTGTGATGTTTGTGACTCACCCCACAGCAATGAAGAGGATGAAGGTGAAGAGGAGGCCACACAGAGACACTCCACAGCCAATGAACGTCAGCACCTGCAAAGCTTTTTCGTTTTCTGGGCTCCTCTGGTGCAGCACACAGACACAAAATGCATATGCTGTTTAAACAGCTGCACATCCTATTGATGAGGAGGCTATAGAAATCTACAGCTGTTGCCAGGACACACAAATGTTACCTGAGTTTCGTAAACCTGCAGTAGCACAGCGAAATTGGTGGTGTGGTTGCAGTAGCATGCTGTGTATCCATAATGTTTGGACACAAGCTCACAGCCTCTTGTATTCCACCACCCACCGGCCTCTGGCCTGCTTAGACAAACAGGAGATACCATCTGCTTAAGATCCACTTAGACAGTTAATTTTCTTATTGTAAAATTTCACTGAAATAGTCACTGAAACTACAAGTTCTAAAAATAACCATCCCTACTCACGTAAGATCAAAGTCCCAGAATGCACACACAGGATCATACAGAGCATCAACGGAATTCTGGGAAAGATATCAGGAGATGATAAAAATGTCATTCTAATAGGCCAGCACTTTTATGATAGAGATGTAAACCAGAGGTTGGTTAACCTGTGCTTTGTGCTGGAGCTGGAAGTGAACGGCCATGCTGACTGGCTGGTCATCTCCCAGCACAGTGGAGGATATAACAGCAGAGCCCAGCACAGTGCCCAGATACCTGTGGGAGAACAAAGACTTCAACCACTGTAAGTGAAACATCAACCACCATGATTGATGTCTATGATTTTGGTGATGGCACTCATCAAAATGGAATGTTGATGTATGGTGTTTTCTTTGTAAATTTGCAATTTAGAAGAGTGACAAACAAATAAACTTGATTGATCTATTGGTTGATTTATTGTTTTTAAGTAAGTGTGTATTTTTGATTGGATTTTCAATGAAGATGCTAAACACAAGACACATTTTCTTCTTCTATTGTGAAAAAAACTAAGATTTGGTTTTCAGTGGAACATACATATCCATGCACATACACACACACACTGTAAAAAATGAGAACACATCACATAACCATTCACATATCATTAAAATTGATTAAGTCTTTTAAATCATATGTCATCTGGTCATCATTTATCATTTTTAACCTGCTTTTTAAGCGTTCTCCTTTATGATGTTGTTTCTTGTGCTCAGTGTTCTGTTTGTAATTTTGCTTGATTCATGTCAAGTGTCTTGGACTGGTTAGAAAAGCACTGTACAAGTAAAATGTATTATCATCATAATGTCTCATTTTCAGGTCATCCCATATTCCAGGCTGTATTTGAGGTATTATTTGAGCTCCTTGTTGTAAAGATCTTCTTGTTGCCGTGGTTACACAACAACTATACAAAAGTAAAGGAATATCAGCAAAAATTCTTCCTGCTGCACGGCATCCAAAACTCATCCTCATCCACAAGAACAAAATTTCAATCAGAAGAAGGGGAATTTAAGTTTCATAGTATAAACCAGAATGATTTTAACAATATTCTAATATGCTGCCACACTGAATTCCATAGTATAAGCACAATTCTGAAAGGGTGCTGCATTAACTAATGCCTAACTATGTGTATTCATTGCATTCCAAAATTTATAGAGAAAAAATTTTGCAACCCTCAAGTTGTCTGAGTTTGTCCCAAATATACTTAATTTAGAAAATGTTCATAATACTTAAACATGTTAAATGTACTATTTTGAAATGCCAGCTGCAGAGCGGTTCTGGCAGTAAGGGGTTAATTCTACCTTTGTGTGCCGTCAGTGACCGTAGGCTCCTTGGTGATGTTCTCCTCTGGATTGAAAAGAGGTCGGAGAGAGCCATACCACATGTTGACCAAGGTGATCTTATAGAAGCCTGCACATTCAACACAAAAGCGTTTCTTCAGTTTGCAGGACAAAAAAGCTGAAAAGAAAACACACACTAAAAGAAATCTAATTCGTCACTAGTTTATGATTTTCTATCAAGATTTGTTGCAAAATCTGACTTTGTGGCACAGGGAGAGCAAGATGCACTTGCTTTCACCTGCAGAATTTAACATCAATTAAAAATCTTTTGAAAGAATGAATGGAGGAATGGTTTTGTATAAATTTTCTACCATTGTTCTGCAGATCTTGTATCTTCTGATGTGGAACAGAAATGCAGTCTGGAAGGTTGAGAGTCTCTGACTCAGGCCCACAGAAACTCTCCACTCTAGTTCCTTCACCCAGTCTTTGTTGCTGCAGCTCCACTTCTACAAAGAACATAACAATCCAGATAACATTTCAAATGTGTGACATTAAAAAAGGTTTCATGCAGAACATCAGCAGAATATTCTGATGTTTCTGTTGATACTTTTCTGATGTTATATTGATCACTTTTTGTATTGCAAAGGTTCTGCCACCTTTTGGGTAAGATCAGAACTTATGACGATTGTTTGAAGCTTAATTTTTGTGTGTGTGTGTGCGTTTTTTTGCAATACCTAAACAGGGATAAAAATTCTCCTATGCATATTTAGAATCTGGAGCTATTAGTGGACTAATGTTTTTAAATAAGCATAGTTAATAAAATTCTAGTGGCTACAATGAAGGATTCCTTGATTATGTCACATTAAAATTCATGAGAAAGAAAAATCCAAGTGTGTTTTCACTAACATCCTGTTCAACAACACATAAGATGAGAAAACTTGTTTCTACCTGTTTGTACAAAACAAATATGAAAATATGCCATCACATTTATCATTAAGCTTCCTTTTTTGACTTTAAAAAACATTTGCATTTCATTCATATTATTCATATCCATAATACACTACAATATCCAAAGTTGAATTGTGTTCTTTCTTTCATTTTCTTATGATTAATTACACTGCTCAAAAAAATTAAGGGAACACTCAAATAACACATCCTAGATCTGAATGAATGAAATAAATATGAAAATAATTTCTACCTGTTGTCTATTCCATTTGTACAACAGCAGGTGATATTGATTGTCAATCAGTGTTGCTTTCTAAGTGGACAGTTTGATTTCACAGAAGTTTGATTTACTTGCAGTTATGTTGTGTTGTTTGAGTGTTCCCTTTATTTTTTGAGCAGTATATCTTTGTTTCTCGTGAATTTAATTAATTTTGAGGGATATAAAACCAAACTTAGGAATGTAAATCTGTCCCATGTAAATTTTGTCTAACATTGTTTGATGGACAGTTAAGTCAGGTCTGTTGCTCACTATGTTGTGTTTGTTTCTGCATAAAACAATTGTTTATATGAAATATTAACAGCAGTGCAAAAATATAATTTTTTTTACACATACTAGTCTCTATATAAACATTGTGAAAAAAAAATTGTCATTTTTTTGTAAGAAAAAATGACCATGTATATATATATTTAACACATGAGTCATCCCTCACACACACATAGAATTTCTGTTGGGTTCAGAAAGTTCATTTCAGATCACAAGCAGTGACCAGTGCTGTATTGTATTATAGTCAGTGAACAATCCAGCTGCTCATGCAGTTGTAAATATCACATAATGAATAGCCTCATTAAACCAGCACTACAAAAAGATGCCAAATTCAGTTTGTTTTTTTGTTATGAAATTGAAATCAACATAAAATCTGCATTCAAAAACTTCAAGATTTTTCTTTTGACAAAGCATGGAAATTTGTGCCTTTATTGTTGTTTTAATGCTGCATTTCTGTCTCCTTTCTAGAGTATAATTGATCATTTTTGAAGGTCTGCTGTTACATAATTGCATTTCTGTGCTTTCATTAATGTCTTTGATGATAGACTCGGGTCCTGGCTCCAACCTGTGAATTCATAACTTCAGAAATCCTGCGAAATGGAAATTTGCGCAACTCACTGATATTGGGAGTGTGAATGGTCACATGGTCAGTCTCTGCTGTCAAACTTGGACTCAAGCGGATCACCATCCGGTCCACACTCTTCACAACATCCATGGGACCGTTCACCACCTGAAACCCACAGAGCACCAGTGTGTTGGCATCATCAGGCCTCACCCACCCTGATGAGCTACACACTCATCAGAGCTAAGGACTCTTCAAAATGACCATTCATTGCAGCACAATAGAAAAATATTTTAAGTGCTGTTAACAGATTGAAAGAGTCTGCAGATTAGCCGAGGAGGACACACAAAGCTCAATAGACAGGCCTATAATGCATGCCTCATAGATTTTGCCATTGTCTGTTTCCAAACACCGCATTCTGATTTCAGTGTGCCCATCTAAAAGCTGAGCCTTGGAGTCGGAGCTGGGAGCAGAGCGCCGGAGGTTTGTGGATGAGTGCAGCCTCGGTTTTTCAAAGTGCTTCTCATCCATTGAGGATGCGTTGAGGTGGCCTTGGAGAGCTAAGAGGCTTGGGGGTGTGGGAGGGTAGAAGGAAAGAAAGCGCTGAGAGAAATACAGCTTTTCACGTAAAGCAGTTGTTCCACAGATCTATATAAAACACGCACTGGTGCAAAAGTACAAAACATGATTAGAAAATAAAAAAAATAAATAAATAAACAAGAGGAAGCAATGTGCCTTCTCTTTGACTGACATTTCCAGTCAAAACGTAGAACAAAATCTGACTGATTAAGCAGTCAGATTTGAGACTTTAAGATGATCTGCTCAGGTGTTTATCAGTTTAGCTGATCTTGGTGCATTTTCAGTTGCATTTACAGAAGCACACTGTCCTCTAGTGTTTTGAACAGAACATAACACATTTCAGTGCAACACCGATGCTGTCGGCTATAAATCAGTTCTTAGTATGATTGTGCAGATTTATCTCAATCACTGTCCCACCAAACAATGATGCACCATTTTATCTCCTAATTTCATCTCCCCTATAAACCATGATCATGTGTTAGTGATCTTCACCTGCCACATTAAGCTCTTCATTTTATAAAGTTACAGCCTCAAATTTAACGGCATTCATTTACTTTCTAAATATTCTGCACATTTTTTTTCTCTCAGCCCTGTGGGGTTTCATTCTAACATCTTCCAGAGAGGAAATCTTCCTTGAGAGATAGCTGCATCCTGTGTCCTGCTCAGGATGAAAAACATGTGAAAACCTTGCAAATTATTCGCAATTGAATTTAGTCTGGACTTTGACTGGGCCATTGCTACACATAGATCTGCTTTATTCCAAGCCATTCCATTGTATTCCCTCTGGATCTATGTTTAGGGTAATTGTCCTGATGGAAGGTGAACCGCCAACCAATTCTAAAGTTTTCTGAGTTCCCCAACAGCTTTTGTTTCAGGATTGGACTGTATTTAACTGACGGCTGAGTCTCCCACATGAACTGTGAATTGCTGCTGCTCCTCCTGGCTTCACATCCTTGGAATAGTACGGTTCTTTCATGGCGTGTGACTTTAGGTGGATGGCTACAACTTTATAGATTTGAGGATTCTTTTTCTCCTTTTATTTTCAGATGATGGACTAATGATTAGATATTGTTCAGTAACCTAATTTCTCCTCCCTGACCAGTCTGCTGTGTTCCTTGGTCTTCTTCATGCTTTTTGTTCCCTAGTGATCCCCAACAAACCTCTGATGGCTTCCCAGAACAGCTGGATTGCCAGATTCAGTTGCATTACAAGGATAATCTTTGTACTAGTTAGGTCGCTTTCAAAGGCATTTGGTTGCCTGTATTACAGGGAACATCTCTCATATATGTTTATGTGAAAAAATTGTGTGATTACCATGAGCCATATTCCTCACATTTCGTAAATTACTTTGCTTTGGTCCACCACATAAAATCCCCATAACATATATTAAACTTGGTGGTTATGGTTTGAAAAATATAAATATAAAGGTCAACAGTTGTGGTACACCTGGAACTTCAATTTTATGACTCTTCAGAGAACCTGAAGTATAGCTGTTATTCATACAGTTTCATTCTGATCACCATAATGATGCGTTTTACACACATTGAGATTCTGCAGCTAAAAAGAAAATGTAATAATATTGTTTGAAGAATTAAACTTTATAATTTTCATTGTTAGTGCGACAGGAACTCTGAACTTATATTGCTTCTTATGTGGTTATTCTCAGCTCTTTGAAATTCAGACTTTCATTGTTTCACACATTTTTGTCAACTCATTCATCATGTCCTTGTTCCCTTTACAGCAGAACACATTCCACTAAGGAAAACATTATCCTTGACACAATATTTTACAGTTTTACCAACAGATAAATATGCAAGCCACCAATTCCTCTCAAGGTTAGTTTGTTCATTGCAGAAAGTACAGTGCTCACCAGGCAGGGCGTGACAGAAAGTTGTTGTTATAGACAAAGCAGAACATAGTTTTGTGATCCTCTGACACACAGAAAGCTGGAGAATAAAAAAATATAGATCAGCTGCCCCCATGATCCTGCTTCTGTTCAGGAAAAACAAAGGCGAAAACTGAGAACAATACCTGATACTTCCAGTTCATTTGAAGTATCTAAAAAGAACTAAAGCAATGGATCAGATATGGCTTTAGCTAAAACAACAGTTTATTATGGGATAACTGAAGCCCATCAATCATAAACCATGTTATGATACACATGGTTTATAAAAAATAATGCATAGATCGGAAATTTTAACAAGATATGCCACAATGATGCACTACACACAGTAAAGTACACTGGATTTGGAGTTTGGTCCTCAAAAAAAAAAGAAAAAAAAGAAATACAAAACGAACACCGATACTTCACTAAAAGGAGAACAGGAAATGATATGTTGGAGGGCAAACGAATTGATCTTCTTTAATTAAGTAAGAAGATCATTTTAAATTTGTGTAGCAGATGCAAACTGCCCATGTAGCCCATGTCTCTGTGCGTGTTTTCCAAAAATATTTGGAAAAAATGTTTTATTGTCTCAAATCAAACATATCTGAAGATACTCCGTTTTCCTGGTTTTTATGTTCAGGGAGAGCTTAAGAAAGTCATTTTGCTTTAAACATTAATTAGAAATGTCCTCTCTATTCCTTTCCAGTGGAACTTGCCAGTCACTCGTCTGGATGTAACTTTGAGCTGGTATACGTAGATGCCCACACAAAGACCAGCAAAGCAACACAAGAAAGTTGAGTAGGTAGGTAGCTCAATTAATCTGCATTATTTAATACTTTGGCTTTTAAATTTTCAGATTAATCACATTGACAGCTTTACAAAATATATGTCAGTTCAGAGCAGTTTGTGCTTAATTCTGCTCGATGTTCGCCGTTACTGTAAGCCTTTCTATGGTGGAAATTTTATCAACTAATCAACTAATCAGTCACATGCTGGATCTTTGAATGTCATCTTCTTCACTGCATAGAAGTCAAAATTATTTTAATGTCAGTTCTGTTAATACTTTAACCTGTTGCTTTAATGTGCTGAAGTTATTCAACACATCAACTGAAAAGATATGCTGGAAATATTATAAACACCAATCCAACTGCTAGACAATTCAAACCAGTGGCTTCTGTTTGATGGTCAGTGTTTCACTGCATGGCATCAAGAATCTTTTTTAACACATTCTATTCAGAAGGACTGATGCCTTTCAGAAAACTAATTTAGGATGAAGACCAGTGATCGGTCATGATTTGGGTCTGGTTAAGCAAGATGTGTTAAATGCCTGAATGAGATATGTGTTCCTCTTGACAAGTGTGTTTCATTCAGACCAGACTGAGCAGTTTGCCTGTGGCCAACTTCTCTAAGCCTCAGTGCAACACTCAGGGGACCCTATTGCTGCAGCAAGTGCAGCACATCCAAAATGCAAAGGGCAATGGTCATTGCAGCGACTGCTGTGACTTTGGTGAGAGGATGATGTGGTCATCATGGTCAGAGGTGGAAAGAGGCAGAGCATAAAGCAGCTGGTTTCTTCACCATGATGTTTTCAGCAAGTTACAGGGAGGATGAGGTTATAGTCTAGACACAAAACCAATCTGGCCATTTCCACAACAGCACTTCACTCAACCTCCATTCATGGACGCTCTAAGTTCTGCCCATACTTTAATCACTCAGGAAACTCACACTCGGTCACAAACAGAAGCTGTATTTCCATTACAAATGTGCACAAAACTTTGTTATTCAGCTACTATCAAAAAGACACAAATTTACAATTGCGATATTTCCATTAAATAAGAGACTGAATTAAACTTACATGAGAATAAGTCTGTTAATGTGGTAAATCATTCCGCACCATCATCCTTCTACCATTCTTTGTCTTTACACCAGTAGTAATATCCTTCTGTTGAGAAACGTGTTTTCATTGCAGTTTTGCAAAGCAAGGTAATTTTGGCTGAAAAGAGACCTCATCCTAGTGCAATTTCTTTTCAATATATACATTTTTTAAATAATTGTTTTTAAAATGCTGTGTTTACATTAAACGCATTTATTTTTATAATTTTAATTTATAGTCAGTTGAACCCACTAATGCCTTCTTGGAGACATTGCCAAGATGCATCATACATTAGTGATAGTTTATATGGTTTTCATAAAAAAAAAAATCTTTTTACAATGAACAACTTCAGCTTTGCTATTCAGAGTCCCTAATTTCACAGAGTTAGAAAATGGGCAAGGTGGTTAATTTAGAGTTAATCTGTAAATTAACGGTGTTACGAGACTTTTTAAATGTATTTAGAATCTGTCACGATACGTTGCTGTAAATTTGAACATCTATGCTTTTGTAACCTTTTCATTTAAAGATTTGACCTGAAGTAATTTGGTCAAGGTTGAAGGATGATTTCCATTGTTTCTCTGTGATATCAGAAGGACAGATGACACGGCTTTAGAAACATTTCAAGCACTTCTATTGTGAAGAAGAGCAATAATGGTAAGTCTCTGGTAAATCTACTTCATACATCATATGCTACCTCTTTGATAGCCTGCCACTTGTCTGCATTGTCTTCACTGATGATGCTGTCAGCCAAGCTGATGAAGTGCTGACTGAGCTCCTGGATGTTGTCACTGCTACTGTTTTCAGCGCTGACTGATGGTTCAGAGGAGACGTCAGCAGTGAGTGTCAGCAGCTGGATGAGCGTCACCATGTCGGCTGGCTGCAGGCCGTCCTGCTGCGTGTCTTCCAGGGCCTGGATGGAGGCGTTGAGCAAGGCTGCAGCCTGGGCCAGGCTGTCCAGCTCTGATGGCTGCTGCACAAGCACCAACTCAGACTGAAAGAGAATGTACAGGATTCAGTGGAAATATACGCTGCATTTTATTGTGGGATTAAAAATAATTCAGCTTTTGTTTTTTTGTTTTGTTTTCAATTCAATAAGCCATCCATCCATTATCTAAAGACATATCTTTGCAGGGTGGGAAGCTGGTGCCTCTCTCCACATACATACAGAAAACTCGCAGAAAGAACCCGGCTAGGATTTGAACCCCAGACCTTCTTGCTGTAAAACAACGGTACTATCACCTGTGCCACTGTGTAATCTGAATTCAGTGAAACATTGGGCTAAATTATTTTAAGACAAGCATTACTTGTCTTAAAAGTAAGAAAAGGAAAAATCAACAATTAAGATCTACATAGAAACACTGCACGATAATCTTAAAAATATTGTGTCTTTTGTATTATTGATGATTCAATTAATTTGATTTTGCCTGTGGATGTAATAGCCTTTGTAATTTTGTTTGTCAATACCAGCTTCCATCAATGTTCACAATGTTCATATTCTCACTGGGAACTTTTACTGCGACTGTCTTATTTCAGGAATCAGCTGGTGTTTGATAGGCATGCAGGCGTGGCCTACCTGGCTCCTGTTGGAAAGCTTCATCAGTTGGTTCATGAAGGCAGAAGGCTGGCTGCTCTGAGACTTACTGATCTGCTCCATCCTGTGGTGCCGCTCTGCAGCAGAGAGGACAGTTTATGAACAGATTTGAGAACAGATCATTGAACTTTAAATCCTGAGATAAAAATCATTACTCTGAGATAAAGGTTTTTCTCTTCATTATAACAGGGAACTATATATGCTCTCAGTGACAGCAGAAGGCCTTTACACCCTGAATAAAATCCCTTTCAACTATGGAACACCTGCATGTTACATTAGTCATCGAGATGTCCTTGCTCTTGTCAGATACAAATACAATGTTAATTAAACATCCATATGGGAGAATATGCACTATATTAATGAGCAAAACAAAAGAAAAAGATCTCATTGAACACTCTGATAGAAAATATATGATATATTCTAAGTTCAGCTATTGCTGATTTCATTTCATTGGTAAAGGCAGCTATAATTAAACCCCCTTCATTAAAATGTTAGGTAAGAATCTCTGCTGGTCACGGTTTTCCAAATCTCAGTGCTTATTTTAATTCATTTGCATTTCAGTAATTCAATTAGTTATTTAATAAGCAGGTCATGTCAGAGATATGCAAAGAAAAGCAAACACAAAAGTTCAATTCAATTGAACTTTTACTGTAACTGCATATCCCATTATAGATCACACTGTCAAAGCAGAGTAATCTTTGATTACACTGCTTTCTTTCCCTGAACTTAGTTTTTCACAAACTTTTCCAATTTGGTTTTAGCTTTGTTTAAAGAAAAATAATGACATGCTGGAAACCGTGGTGTGTTTTTATTCACCTGAGGTCATATTTAATTAATTTTAGAACCTGGAGAAGAGCAAAGGCTTTATGTTACAAACTCTAGAATATTTTGTTTGTGCTAAACTAAATTAAATTATTATTTTTGACAAAGACATTTCCTAAAAGCTAAAAATAGACAAAAGATGCATTTAAAAATAAAGATCAAATATTGAATGTTGTAGTTCAGGGGTTGGCACACAACAGTCCATGTAGACTGAGGTGTGTTGCATGTGTTCCTATTGATGGTGGTAACCTTGTGTTTTTAAAATGTTGTTGTTTAAAAATGTTGTTGTAATTTATCTGGTTTTTGCTGCTAATTACTAAATTTCAGATGTTGCCTGTACAAACCCAGAGTCCACTAGAGGCAACAATTGGTCATTTTTAAACTGATGTTCAAATGAAACAAATTAAGAAGCACCTTTGTGTTGTTATGAAACCTTGAATGCTGAATGTTAACTTAATTCACTTTATTTCAATTCAATACTTTGTCTCAGAAGGCAATTAAATTAAAGAAAGCAAAAAAAAAAAAAAAATGGCTAAAATTACAATTGTTTTTCAGGTCATTTATGCCATTTCATACAAACTTGAAATAACAGTGAATGATTTAATTGGACAAATTCCTATTTGTGCTTCTGAATAGAAACATCTAGTAAAAAGAAAGCAAAAATGAAAGAGAAAAATCAAACTTCTCGCTGATTCACTCAACAAAATGTAATATACACATACACACAGCTCAATTTTAAAACCTGAATTGAAGTTTGCTTAATTTGTTGTTGGAAAAACATTTAACAATACAACGCAAAATAAATAAATAAATAAATACAAAAAAATTGATGTATTTCATGTAACAGTAACAGTAACAACAGTACTACGTCCAATGTGTTTTTTTATATAAATCAATATAAAGTAGTATAATTGTGATTTAGGGGGTATTTTTACAAATACAAATCTGTGGCGTACATTTCTTTTCAGATCTTTTTAAACACTCACTCTAAAATAAACCTCAGTGTAAACGGAGTTCATTTATGTGTATTTTGATTTCAGCATGAACCCAGATGTTGTTGGGGAACATTATTGAACATCAGCATGATGAAGAAGAAGGAACACAACGGAAAGATTTAAAGCAGGATTAAGTGAAGACGAGAATATCTCAGGTTGTTCTGAAAAAAAACATGGACCACATACTAACAACTACAATGATCTCTACTCCATTTCCAACTTACCTTCCATCTCTCAGACAGACAGACAGACAGAGAGAGAGAGAGAGAGAGAGACAGAGAGACAGAGAGAGAGAGAGAGAGACAGACAGACAGACAGAGAGAGAGAGAGACAGACAGACAGACAGAGAGAGAGAGAGACAGACAGACAGACAGAGAGAGAGAGAGACAGACAGACAGACAGACCGGATTCCTGGACTTTGGCTTATATACCCAAAGTGACGAAGTTGTAACAGACAGAGAGAGAGAGAGAGACAGACAGACAGACAGAGAGAGAGAGAGACAGACAGACAGACAGAGAGAGAGAGAGACAGACAGACAGAGAGAGAGAGAGAGAGAGACAGACAGACAGACAGAGAGAGAGAGAGACAGACAGACAGACAGAGAGAGAGAGAGAGAGAGAGAGACAGACAGACAGACAGACAGAGAGAGAGAGAGAGACAGACAGAGAGACAGAGAGAGAGAGAGACAGACAGACAGACAGACAGACAGAGAGAGAGAGAGACAGACAGACAGACAGACAGAGAGAGAGAGAGACAGACAGACAGACAGAGAGAGAGAGAGACAGACAGACAGAGAGAGAGAGAGAGAGACAGACAGACAGACAGAGAGAGAGAGAGACAGACAGACAGAGAGAGAGAGAGAGAGAGAGACAGACAGACAGACAGACAGACAGACAGAGAGAGAGAGAGACAGACAGACAGAGAGAGAGAGAGAGACAGACAGACAGACAGATGGTTGTGGGAGGAGGTTTACCATGGGAAGTTGCAATTCCTCACTATTTTACAGTCCGACATAAAAACAAGACAAAACTACATTTAATACCATGCATTGTTACAGTGAAAACTTCAATAACACATCTAATAATGTTAGACCAAGTACACATTTCATCTGTGGCTAACCATCAAGACATGGAAGTTGACAATAAAGATAGTGAAGAAGTCAAGTATAGAACCATTTTAGCTGAAACCAGAATAAGAACAAACTATGTATGACCTCACTGAACTCCAGAGTACACCAGGTCTTAAACTTCATTAATCAGGAAGGTTCTGCATTCAGGTTTCTGCCCGGACATCTGCATGGATATTTTGTTTTCAACCAGTTCAACATTGCTTTCTAAATTTTAAAAGACATCAACTCTTCTCCTGCAGAGTCACTGATGTGTGTTTATAGGCCCAGTATTCATTCAACAACACCATGCAGACTGCAAAGTTATGGATTATTCTGACAAAAACGATAGAGGCTCACCTCGGCTGCTCCTGCAGATGAAAGGCAGAAGATCAGAGCAGTCCGTCCAGCTGAAGGATGGCAGCTGATCTGACCAGCCCTGCAACGTCCTGCAGCCCTGGAGCTCCATCTGCTGGAGCACTGCTGCTCATGCATTCAAATTGTTACAAACACATCCATACATAACACACAGAAGCAGAATAATGGGTTCAGCTTTCAACTATAAGATTATTTGTAAACATATTTTGGCAAAGCTTTAATTTCTCCTGGATGGTTCACAATTGCGGGGAGCAGAAAGAGGAGGTGCTGACTTCCCGACCGCTCAGGTCTAAATGCCTTCACCTTTCACTGACCTTTACTGACGGCTCCACGAGCAACAAGACATTTTACACACATTTTACATAAAAGGTTCAACAGTTGTGCTTAGGTAAACACTGCAAACATACTTGAATTCATCACCTACACAGCTGCAAAAAATCAACATTGAACATGTTTTGAGACAACCTGAAAACAAAATCTACCAACTACGTGGGCCACCTCATGGTAACAACTCTTCTTTGCAGAGACTTTGTAATTCAGTGACATTGTAAAGTTATAGGCATTAATATTTCTCATGAAGATCAAGCTTCAGCATCTGAGACAATATATAGTCCTGACTCCTGCTGTTTACTAGGACACTTCAAAATCTTTTATTTAGTTTTTTTAGCCGTTCGGCTCTGACTATGTTAGTTACATACCGGATTCCTGGACTTTGGCTTATATACCCAAAGTGACGAAGTTGTAAGAAGCCTTACCGCCATAGAAAAATTCAACTGCCTAAGAAGCGCTTGACTAAAGAGGCCAGTAGAGAGATGGTTTCAGGCAAAATATTACCAAACTAAAAGAAATATACAAAGCTGTCAACATTCACTCAGAAACATAACATTAGAACCCTATGCAACCAGTTTAGACAGTTCCATCAGTTTAAAAGTGATTTCTGGTGAGTTTCACTTTAATTTATGAACTTTCAATAATTAAAGAGAGTTAATAAACTCTCGTTATTTTTAAAAGTTTAGAAAATAAGTTTTTATATTGTTTGTCAGAAATCCCAACATTACCCTGTGTGTCCAACATTGTCTCCAGTACTTATGTAGGAATTTTATTACCATCACAGGTAATAATACAAATGTTGTGTCAAACAGCCTATAAAAGCAATAAGGGTACATAAATGTATGTACTTTTCAGAAACTTTACATTTGTGATTAAAACATCAGTTTTTGATTGATCTATTGTGATATTCTAACTTTGTGGCATTGAATGTCTTACATTTTTTTGTCTACATTGATCATTAAAATTGCAAAAAAAAAAAAAAAAAATCTTGAAATAATTTACACTATGTGTAACGTAAATGGACTGCTTCTATTTCTGAGATGACTGGCAAGAAATGTTGCACTTTTATGCAACTTTCTTTTTTTTTATATCTGTCAGTACATTTTTTTTATATCTGCCAGTTTATTTATCAGTTTATTTAATGCTAATGCATTTATCATTTATAAATGCATTGGCAAAATACATTTAGAAATGTTGTCTTAATTAGAGATTGGTAATGCATGGTGGATGTGTTTGGTATATTGACCTACTACACATTTACAACAAAAGCAGCAGAGATAAGAGACAAATTCTACTTTTTATGTAATCAAGCTCAATTCTAATTCAACTTTATCTGTTAATGTGTATCATTGAATTAAGAAGAGTACAAGCAAAGTCAAGCAGGGTGTTACCACATTTTCTACTGTCATTTCAAGAAAATTTGATAAATATCTGTAACATGTTAATTGGCTGTGAAAAACAAAAACCCAATATGTTTTGTGAACTTATGGTTTCATAAATAGACTGTTATCCTACCTGGACAGAACAAAGGGGCCTTCACCTCTTTGACCACATGATGGCTGTCTATGAGGCTGAGGTTCCAGCTGAAAACTTTTTCCTGTTTTGTGGGCGAACACAAATTCAAGGCACGGACATGCCTCGTGTCCAAAGAAATGTTCCATACATTCAGGTCAGTGATGTTCCCAAAAAATGGTTCTGTGAAATTTCCTCCAAATGAGTCTTGGTCCTGACCCAGGATAAGAATACCATCACCGTGTATCTCCCTGTCCATATCAGTACCAGAGCCCGTGTCTTTCCTGTCTCCGTCCACATATATAGCCCAATGTTTGCTCATTCTACTCCATGTGACGCAGATGTGATGCCATGCACCGTCATTTGCAAAGGATGCCTTGTATGGAAAGTGTTTTCCGTGGATTATGAGGGCCAGGTGGATACGACCCTGTGTGTCCACTCGGCCTCGCATCTGGAACTCATTGGTCAAAACAGGTGCAGCGTAAGAGAAGACTGTTGATACGTCAGTCCACTCTGTGTCCCACTGAACCCGAACACACACGCTGACAGACGACATGGCGGGAAAAGACACTCTGACACGTGCAAAGCCTTCTTGGGATTCCTTTGGAAATTTTAGCACTGAGAACTCTAAATCTGAACCCGGAGAGAGAGGAAAAAATACTTTTAGTTCATGGAAGACTTTGATTACAGTTTTGAAGATCCCTAATTCCACTCACACTGCCTGGAGAGAGCTACCGGCTTGGACTCTGCTCTGGGGTGATCTTTAACCCAGACTGGGGAGCGAAGTCCAGTCTGCTGAAGGAACTCCATGGTCTCTTTCTTGTCCTCTGACTCTTCCAGGGCGATCAGAGAGCTGAACTGACCTCTGCAGAAACTCTCAGCTCTGGAAAAGGGTAGTGAGTCGTTAAACAACTTCAGCACCCATTGTGATGTAGGATAGACGAGCTTGACTTGCTCTGAGAAAGCAGACACAAAATTGAGCACATTAGAGATAGTTGATTAGAAATCTTCTCATCAGTTGGCACATTTTTCAATTTCTAAATAAGTGCCAGAATAATTGAACACTCTGTTCCCTCACCATGGGGCTGCTCCATTGTTTCTGGCCCAGCGTGTGTTGGCTCACCATCACATATCACCTATAGAGAAAATAATCCCAGTTCATCATTGTGGAGAATGTTCCACAGCGTTCACATTTGTATGAATTGTGGCTATTTATGATACATTCGATACAATGATTTCGATTTAATTTTTTGTGGCCTTTGGAGAATAATAACAAGAAAAAAAAAACTAACTAAAAATATGACTTCTGTTACACAGTATATTATATAATGTGAACATTATTACCTCCAACAAGAAGAGCACAAGTCCTGTAACCAAGAACCCAGCCATTTCTAGACAGAAGAAATGAATCAGTTGAGCTACAAAAATGTATTTTCACTATATCCACGTGCCATCGGTTAATGACTGCTTTAAAAACATCTCTATGAAAAATTCACTGCCGATAACAGCACTAAAACCACGCAAGCAGAGTTTTACAATGACTCTCCCCAACCGCTGACTCTCAAAAATTGCAAAAAGATATTGCCAAATTCTTCTGCACTCAGCGATTGTGCGTTCATTTCACGTCACTCTGGAGATAACTGCCAAACAGCGAAACATAAATCCAACTCTGGCTCCTCAGACGGTACCTCTGTGTCAATGTCAACCATGTCCTGCAGTGTGTACAGTCTCCTCAGAGAAAAAGAACCAGTGCTCCCAGTGCATCTGCCCAAGTCCCCATCTGCCTCCCCTTCCTGCTTCAACACTCCTCCTTGTGTTCCTCCCTCTGGTGCAGCCAGCCTAAAGCAATCTGCTTTTGTCATGCAAAGAGGGTCATTTTTTAAAAAGAACTCCACTTGCGCAAGAGGTGTCAAGCCTTTGGCACAGAGAGTTCATGAACAGCAGCAGGAAGCTGCACATACCCACCACTTTGCCCTTATCTATGTCTTCAACAGGCCACTCGAAAGTTAATGGCCCCATCAGTTCCATTACTGTAATTTATAGACAGAAAAGCTGAAAATACTGATATTATTATCTAATAAAACCTCTTCATATTTTTTGTAAATGTTTTCCGAAAATCATGTTGCGCAAAAAAATGAAATCATTAGTATATTCTTTAAAATGTAAAATATTCATTGTAATTATTTAACATGATCTGGGTCTTTCATATTATTATTATAGTTCAATGTCCAACTAAGCTTTGTTTCATACTGAAAGGTTCAAATGTGTCCAGCCAAAGTTGAAACGGGTTCACCCGAACATGAAGGTTATCAGAACAATAAGAACCAGTGGTTTGAACTCAAACCTCTGTGGAAAACCCTCCAATACTCTTTCCATTGTTAAAGTGTTCAAACTGTTATTATTGTGAAGGTCTGTTGTTGAATTGATTTCTGTCAGGAATATTTCTTCCATTCTTACCCAGTGAGGAAAAAAGGCTGTCGTCACTAGATAGCACCAAACAAAAGGCGACAGTTTCAACAGTCATTGTTGATTATGAATCTCATATTTTTTCAGTATCTTTTATTTTAGGGGTCAGGTATTAAAAATATCCACTGAAAAAAAATATTGTAGCTAGTTGACCATATGTGAAGTTTCCTTTCCAGGTCACTAAATTCAGCTTTTCCAAGCACTTACATAACCACATGTATATAAAAAAAATAAGAAATTCAGCACCTAGTCTTACAGACTGCTAAAAACATTATGTATACTGTAGCTCTAAAGAGCTACATTTATTTCTGCTTCATATTATGATCTGATTCCACCCTGCAGCAAGTCTAGTTGTGAAATTTCTACTCTACTCAATCTTCCACAGGCAACTGTTTGTGAAATCAGAACGAACAGGAAGCATTTGTCAACAACATCAACTCATCCATGACGTGGATGATAAGGCACTGAGGAGCGATCCCTCTTTCTACTGAGTGAAAAAGAACAACCTATTACCTTAAATGAGCTTCATAAAAATGGTTTGTCTCTAGACGAGCAGTAGGGAGAACAGAACTGGCCTGACTGCGATGTGTGTAAAGTTTGCTCCAGAGGAGCTGGGCTAAATTCCAGAGAAAGGGATTCTTAATATTTCAGAATAACAAGAATTTTTTAACAATTTTATGTTTTCTATTTTATGTGAGCAGTTTGGGATGTGTATCATTAGACAAGATCCATAATGTCAAGAAGGAGTTTGAAGAAGAATTTGAGTCGTGGCTTCAACCAGACAGAACAGATTTACTGAACCAGAGCAGAGAACTGTCTGGATCGGAGAGGTTGATCTTCATCACTGCAAACATTAACAACAGGAGAAGAATCACTCATAGAAAACACTTTCTGCATTGAGCCAAACCTCAGAAACATGTTTGTTAATATTGACAACTGAGTGAAAGCTTTTGGATATTTGTGTTTCAACAATATTATACTGAAAAAAATAGGTTAATAACAGACAGATACTTTATGTTTCACAAAAACATAAAGTATAATATTTTATTCTTAAAATCTTACCCAAAGAAATAAAAAGATGAATCCTTTTCCATTGTTCCAAAGTCCCAGTGCTGTGTGCAGGAATTCTTTTGCCATAAACCAAGAGCACACATTTCATACACATTTCTAGTTTGAAAGCAGAATTTTATGTCTTTTGTTCTCAAAACTTTAAATAGTTTTGCTTACATTTTTATTTTGAAAGGACGTTGTGATTTGTATCAGAAAAAACTGTGGGCATCCGTTGAAAGATGTGGCTTATGATTCTTGATGGGACACAACAAAATTATCAGCAAACAGCACACTTATAACTTCTTTTTTTATAATACAGTTGCTAAGCTGGTGAAATACTGCAAGCTACTACAACCCACCCCCCAAAAAAACAAGCAAAAAAAAAAAAGTTCTACCACACTCTAGAAAGTTCCAACACATTGGACTGACAATATTGACAGGCAGACCAGCCAATCACAGTCCAGACAAGCCTACAAGGCACAGTCCAGAAAACTTGTGGTATTTTCCACAGCAGGACTTCATGTCTGTCTGTGTAATACTCAAAACCTCTCCTGGCACTCAGTCAAAGTCTCTGTTTGGACTCTATTCGCTTACATACATATACTGCTTGCACCATCCCTTGGCAACCTTTCAGCCAATAGAATGAAAGTGTTGTACAAGGTGAGTTTGTTTCCCTCCAGCGGGTGTGCCTGTGTGGCTACTATAGATTGTAGCATCCTGCGCTTCTCCATGAAATGGAGAGTGGTTTGGGTGAACAAACTCCTGCATAATATCAGATGGCTGTTTGTGATCAGTAGCACACACCCAGCAGATGTTTAGAGTAACATGGAGCAGAAAGCTGAAGCCATTATTTCTTCCTACCATATCCCATAATTCATTGTGGGTTCAAACCAGGTGTTCAAGGAAAGTGGCAATTGTGGTGAAGAGCTGCAAATTACTTTGCTATATTACACTTGAAGTGATTCAACATGATATTTTGCAATATATCTCCGTAAGTCTCAACAAAAGTTCATCAACCTAATTGCATTATTGCTCTGACTTTGTCGGACATGTTTGCCCCCCCTGCACGAACAGACAGCTGACTCCACATGCCAGCTGTCAGCTGGCCTGGCGCTCCAGGTTGGGTTTAGAGAACACCTGACTCCCGACACATTAAACACTGATAGCAAAATGTTTGGTTTACTAAAGTATTTCATTTATTCCTGAGCAAATTGGTTTGATTGGTTAAAGTGAAGCCTTCAAGAATAACAGTTTTATATAGCTGTAATGTCTTTTCTGAGAAAATAGTCTATTTGAAAATTAATAATTTGCTTATATTTATTCCTTGTAGAAATTGGATATTTCAAAATAAAACTAACAGATTTATTTTTTATTTTTTTTACTATGGAACAGTTTACTACAAAAGTTTAAGAATTACACAGAAATACCAAAAAAAAGGTTGGCTCTTATTTCTTTTACTTTTTTCCTTGTAAACCTGAGAAACATAAAGGGCTGAGTCAGTGACAATCCAGGAGACCGTCTTTAAAAAGACCGACAATGCACAATCTAAGTCTAAGAGAAAGTTGTTGAGGAATTCTTTTTACATCCCAGAGCAACAATACATTGCTTCAACTTTATTAAGTTTCTTAGAAAGTTATCATCATTTCTTAATAAATATTTTAATGGTATTTTCAGGCATAATATTAACAAGAACATGCTTTAAAACTGCTTGAAAGCATCTCAAAAGACTTTGTCCTCTTGGTCTGGGCCTTGTTTTCATTGTGTGAAAAGCTATTCAGAAGCCTTTATGCTAGATCCAAAAAACAACAAAAAAAGTTTCAACTTCAGAAGATTAATGTTCAAAAGAAGGTTATTCATTTTTGGGGTGCTGGTTGAACACAGCAAGCAAAAAAAATAAATCTTCCAGAGTTTGGACCCGATTCCAGGGGAGGCAATTCACACCAGAACCTCCTCGAGGTAGAATAAATCTGGGTTTTTCCCAGTAGTTTGAGCCATGTACAATGTTCTGACCAGACTCTTCTGGCTGGATCGTAATAAGCAGAGACTCACAAAAGAGAAGTGGACTAATTGACCTCCCTTCTTCCCTGGCTGTTCCTTCACTGTAACTCTGCACCCACTGCCACCCAGCGCATTTCCATGACAACCTGTGGATTGTAAGAGAGGTATGGAAACGTCAAACACTATGTGGGCGTGCTTCGTTGCTCACAAAAGGCCAGTGACACACATGTGCAGCGAGGATGAAGGCTTTTCCCAGAAGAACCAGCCCAGCAAGAGAGGACAGGGGAGAAAGCGGTGACAGCCCCCTCGGCTCCTCGGTTTTAATCTCAGCCAGCTGCTCTGTTGCAGAAGAGACCTTAAATGAAAGTCAGATTCTACAACATACACTGGTAACATGAAAAGGGGAGGAGAGCCGATGTATTTTTAAACACGCCTCTACTTGAGAGAATCTGCTTTGCACTTATTTGGTGACCCAGTAATAGTTTTGACTATATAGCAAAGATGGTATCTGAAAAATCCAACCGCATACTCAAACTGCACAAATCAGTTGGTTAGCCCAAAAGCCCAATACATTTGCAGAATCCATCCTTGTTAACAAACACTTCTGGTAGGTAAGCAATCAGTGGCCATGTTTGTCTGGCCATATCTGGAGAGAGCAGATAGCCTTTATGGCTGCCTGGTTGCCATCAATCAGGCCTGTAACTGATGAACAGCAGCAGGGGTCATGCCATTACCATGGAAACTAGCTTTAAAAACAGCCATATAAACAATACATGGTGCTGGCATAACACAAAGAAAAAGAGAGAGAGGGGGAGGAGAGGGCCGAAGGTTCACGGTTAGTTTTCTGCACTTTGGACAGATTTTGACTCGAGGTCCCCGTATTAAAAGAAATTCTAATTTGTGTATCAGTGGCAGAATGACCGATCTATGGGCCCACTGAGCAGATGCTTAAAGCAAATAGATGCTTGTTTTTTTTCTAATTTCTTCATTGTACTCAATAGAAGTAAAATAATTTTTGAA